TGAAATGTCGATTATTTAACCTTGCGCAGTATTCAATAGGTGGTGGAAAGTTGGCATTGTATCGAGAAACTATCACTTTAATGCCATTAATGCCAGTCTATGTTGAATTCGCCGTGGTGTCGTGTCGTGTCAACTATTATTTTATATCTCTTAATATGAGTATCTTATTTAATTCTGCAGTTTGCATTCCTGCACTTGAAAGTTAGTGAAAATTCTGCATAAATTTATTTTAATTGATATTTCAACTTTTTCTATTTCTGGGTGATAAGTATTACTATTAGACTTCTACTCCTACTGCTACTCTTACTACTTCTAACTTCTTTCTAATCAGTTTTGAAATTTCCATTTAATTTAATGTTCATTAATAACTACATCTCCTAATTTAAATATTAATTAAAATAATAGTCTAGTCTAGTAACTGACCTTGATAGTTGTAGTAAAAGGTGCCTAGCCTGTGTCTGGAAATGTCTGTTATTTATTATATTAAATGATTACCTAATTTGTCTCCAATTTAAAATATTAATTATCCCCTTAAAATATTTTTATTGGTTTTGTTCAGCTTTATAATCTTTTTATAATTCTTATGTCATATAAACTGTAAGAAGGTAGTTAATTCAGATCATGGCTTATAAAGATTTATGGAAGATATCAGGACTGTGCCTACCCTCTGTAAGGTTAACTGCAGTTGATTTTTACATACCTTTTTCCTATCTCCAGGTGAGTATCGCCCCTTCATCCGCAGCATGTCTGCCACAGGTTTAACGTCACAAGCGCAGCTGCAGTACATACTGCAGTGGTTCCAGGAGTTCAGTGAATACCAGCGTGAAGACTTTCTACCCGTCTTAGCTGCAGCATGCAGTGATAAACCAGATCAACTTGCAGACACTCTTTCCAATCTCTCCTGCCAAGATAAACCTGTCAGCTTGTTTCAGTGCCGTGTAAGTCTTTGTATTTATTTTTAATGTTATATCACCTTTATATGCACTTGTAATGTAATAAAATGGAAATTAGCAAAAATCTGTATGTACCAACATTGGCCACAAAAATATCTTTTGCATGAACAAGCCGGCTTGCCTAGTAAAATAGCACAACCACACAGAAGATAGGTGTGAAGTGAAAGTAATTCCAAATTTCTTCTGATGATTGCCTATGCCAAAGACCTAATTTTAGGTCCTTGTCACAAAGATGTATTTAAAGAACACAAAGGGAGGGGAAATGTCTTGGTTTCGTGCATATATCTATTGATTAAAGTTAGGCAACACATCTGCAGATTACGTAGAGTGGTTGCTTTGATATTTCGTTAATTCGGATTGCCACTTGCGCATTTGCCAGTTTATATAAAAAAGGGATTAAAAGACCTGATAATTAGCTCTAGCTGTAGGTAGATAAAACAATGCTAGTTACTAATTTTAGAATAACTCTATTTTTTCTATATTATTCACACTGATAAATTTTAAAACATTCAAACCAAAAAACCCAATTGTTTTGCCTTTGACATAACTGATAAATAATTGAACAAGCAGGATGCTTATATGCTGATAAAAGATTTAAATGGAACAAATATTTGCACTTTAAACACAGTAAAATATAAAGTATAGTAGTATATAGTACTACTAGCTTTCGCCCGCTACTCCGTCCTCGTGGAATTAAAAATTAAGAAAAGTGAGTAGCCTGTGTGTTCTTCCAGACTATCCTCTACATCTACACCAAATTTCATTGACATCCGTTCAGCCACACACATCCATCCATCTATGTAAACTTTCGCATTTGTAATATTAGTTTGATTAATATGATTAATGAGATAGTCATACATAGTAATATGTAGCAACCATAATTGATTATTTTACAACTCATGTCTTACATATCCTCACATCCTGTACTGGAATTATACAAATGTTTGTCCTGTACTAACAGATTGTCAAATAATATTTAAAGTACATGATTTGTTAGGCATTGCAAACATTGAAAAACTACTTAAAAATGTTAGATTCATAACACATTTAAAAAACACAATTAATTTTATTTTATTATTATAAACCATCCAAATGCTTTTAAATGCAATAAAAATGAATCATCATATGACTCATGCTTTAGTAGACAATGCTATGTTTGTTATTTCCCATCTGTAATTGTTTTCCATACTTTAATGGTGAATTCTTCTAGTTCAGTTTATAGTTGTAATGAGGAATTTTATAAACTATACTGACTAGATTATTATTAAAACACTATACATTTATAAATATTTGTGTTTCACTAAATTTTGTGACTGATTCAAATGTTACCTAAATTATAGTCAGACAGTCAGGTTGCCAGTCGATTATCTAGGAGATACCCCTTTTAATCAGGGGGGGTAGTAGTAAAAATACCACAATCAGGATGTGGACAGTGGTAACAATTCTACTTTTTTGGAGAATTAGAGTTGTTTCTTGCTCCTTTTTCACCTAAAAGTATTAAATAAATCTTTAGTTTGCTAGCCATCTTTGTTAACATTTCAATGCCACCAATTAAATTGGCAAGATCATTTTCTTTCAAAAAAGGTCATGAATCAAGTAAAATAGTACTCAGGTATTTCATTTCAAATTTACACTTTTTCAGATAAAATTGTTCAACGAATGGTATCCAACATGGACTGAAGAGGAAAGAGAGAGGCTTGTTAATAAGATATCCGAAATTGATGCAGAATTTAGTATGAAGCTACAGGAAGCAGTATTGAAAGGTGTCCAAGTTAATGGAAAAGATGATGTAGGGGAACAGACTGTGGAGAGTTCAACAGAGAAGGAAGAAAAGAAAGGAGTCGAAGAATCGGTTGAAGAAGAAAACAAAGAGTTCCCTTCCCCGACTCAGGATACCATATCTATTGAAATAACAGCAGCTTCTTAAGTTTGTATTTGAATTTTTATACATTATTATTTATTTGAAATATATTGGATACTTCTAGATTTTAAGTGAATTTCCAAAAATATTTTCTTTTCTCGCTAATTTGAGTATAACAGAGTAAGTATTTAAAATTCGTTCTTTTAATTCGGATCATTGTCATAATTTTTAAATTTCATATTGGATTTTTAAATAATTTTGTGGATTCATCCAAAGCTGTCTTATTCTGTAAGTACCTAATTAATTTTAGTTCGGGACATGTACCTGAAATAAGATATTTTTATGTGCATTGTTGATTTTTACTAAAATATTTTATTGTATGTAGACATTTTTATATGTTTGCTAAATGGATAGGGTATTTTTTTCTATTTTAACATTATGTTCCTTCGAAGCACAATAACATTCCAATACAAACATTCCTTTAACTAATTTTTATGTAGTTTCAATTTGTAGTTTTTTCTAAAAATTGAAAATATTAAATATATTTTTTTGATAATCAAATAAATGTAAGCATGATTTTAAAAATGAACAAATGAGCTAAAGCATGAAGTCCCACTGAAATAAACACAAACATAAAAAACTGTATAGAATAACCAGGAATGTAAAAACATGGCTTGGGGGCCTTCTTCCTCACATAACTTATTAATGTTAGCAAAAAAATTCATCCTTTCCTCTGCTATATGGGATTCTTTTTATATTCCTGGTTGGACTATAAGCTTATACATATTACATAAGCTTTTTTAGTGTTTACAGTAAAAATATCAAGTAAATAAACTGATTTATTTCATGTTTATTGATTTATAATGTGAGTATAGATTATCACTATCAATTGTACAATGTCCATAATAGTTCCTTAAATTTTCATTAATAATTAAACATAAAACAAATGGCAACTATTGTGAAACCTGTTAATTTTTACAAATTATTATGAAAAGTATTAAATAGTCTTTAAGAAAACAAGGAAAACTGTTATTATCATTATTTTATTAAATGTAAGTTTGGGAATTTTAACCAATCGATTTTCCAAAGAAAAGTGTAATCATATAAAACAAATATAAAATGTGCCAATTATCTGTCAGGTTTATATTATTATATTATCTTTAATAATTCGTACAAACTATTACCCTTGTTCTGTCTCAAATTAGATTTTAGATATTATATTTTATTTTATATAGTAAAAAATTGAATATCATTAGATCTGAAAATACTTCTTAATATATATTTAGCATTAGATTTCGAAAATAAAGACTTTTATAACATACAAAACGATGTTTTATTTAATACATTTTAGTAGTTGGGAAATTAAAAAAAAAAACAAAAAAAGTAATTTTGTATTTTTATTATATACCATGGCACAACTTAGAGAGTGTATTAATAATCATTACATTGGTGTTTTTCTATAATGTAATTGCTTAAGTATTACAAGAACACAGAAAATTGCGTTTTTTTTTTGTTAACTTGAACTAACTTGTAATCTTTGATTGGATCCAATCTATATAAGAACTAACGCGTGTGTAAACTCCGGGCCAGTTTGAAGTACCACACGGGCTGGGGCCATATGACACCACTCCAGCTACAAACCAGTTCTGTTCGGAGGGCATTACTGCCATAAGAGGTCCACCTGAATCCCCGCGGCACGAGTCCTGTCCCTGTTTACCTCCGGCGCAAAGTTGCTTCTCAGTTATAATTCTGCCAGCTTTACTGTAAATGTTTGAGCAGGTGGTAGAATTGACTACCGGAACGCGAACCTTCAATTTTATATCGGACATTGATTCTGAAATGTACATAAAAATATATAAGTACGACCTGACTACTTATACTAAGAAAAGAAATCGAATATCATCTCCCTTTTCGCAATTTTAAGACAATAGTGTCTAGCACAAAAATTTGTATAAGATTTGTCGGTGTACACCCAAAACAAGTATTCTTGTCGACACCGACAAAATTTTTGATTTTTGTGCAGCATATAAGGACGTAAACTACACCGACATCACATACAGAATTTTATCGCAGACGGATACTGTCGTAATAATTTTCGTGTAAGACTGAAGAAGTTCCATCAAACCAGGTTACATTTTAACTAAGAAAAATAATGTGAAAATGACAAATTTGTCATTTGAACACTATTTTTATTAATAATAATTCGTATTAACACACTAATTGTGTGTACCTCTTTGTTCGAATAGTGTACCGAAGGACTCACTTGTTTCAGTTTTACCCCATCCCGCCACTTCCATTTCGTACCCGTCGAACGAGCTAGTACGTTGGGCATTGGTTAACGGTAGGCATATTGGTTTTACAAAATCTGAAATTAAAATGTGTTCAAGATTTAATTAAGATATTTGTACGCATAAATTACAAACAACAATTTTCGACTTCGTTCTGTAATTATATTCTACTAGCTTTCGCCCGCGACTCCGTCCGCGTGGAATTATAAAAAAAAAGTATGTATAATTTTAGCAGATGCAAAAACACGCATTTTAGAATTGTAGTTCAATGACTCACCTGTGAAAACGACGTCGCGCGACAGTTTCAAGAGTGCTATGTCATTACGTTGGTGCACATCATTGGGGTCGTATTTTTCGTGAGGTATACGATCTACAACTTTGATGTCTTGGACGGACGGGCTGCAGTCATCTTCCACGCAATCTCGCGAACTGGTTATATTCCATTCGCCAAGCCGGACTTGAGTTCTATAATTTTAAACAATCTGTTATGGACTGTGCGATACTACGACCACACATAAGACAGGCGTAAGGTGGAAACCGCAGTCTGCTGAGTGTGCCTGTCGGAGGTCTAATTTTAATCTCCTTTCTCTTCTCAACCTTTTCTCGTAAGGAAGGGAAGGGAAAGTGGATTTAGCGGGGGTGAAAACGCATAGAATGGTGAAAAATGCTTTTTCTGCACGGCCTCATAGGTAGGCAAGGCAGTTATACCTGCAATTACGTATGTCTATAGGCAACGGACTTCGCAATTACAGCGAATTCATATAGCCGCTGGCTTTGCAACTTTATGATTTAAAAAAACGCATTATTGGAGTACAATGGTACGGATATACACACGAACTCGACGACTACTACACTCTTGTTTGGCTTACAGTCCTTAATTAAAGAAGAGGGTATATTGTCAGTAATTTTAATTAGTTAATTATTATTTTCTAACAGTGAAACAATAGTTACAACTGAATCATTATAACCAACTAAATACAGTTAGTCATAGTTTTAACAAAAATCCATACTCACAGTAACCAAGTAGGTGGTAATTCACTGCCTCTGAGACAATGGGCAGCGGTCATCACGTATTTCGATGATATCAACACCCCAGAGCAGTAGAAACCCCAGCCGTTTGCTGTAATAAAAACGAAATTTTTAAACGAGAAACTACTTCCATTGAAAGAAATACAAAAAGGGTACCAGTATTCAACGTATTTAGCGTCAAAATAATTTATTATCTAACTGCATGTAAATGAACACAACGAAGTAAGGCCTGACTCTCTCCTATCCCTCTCTATCAGGAAAAAAATTAAGGCAAACATCATCAAGTTGAGAATGTTAGGGTTTCAAAGTATCATATTTCAAGACGAGTGAATTAGTACAGCGTTTACCATCTTCTGACTACAAAACAATTTGCGTGATTGTAGTCAAGCTAGTATACATTATACAATGTTAGAACTTTTTCATTATATATCCACTAGGCAAGGACTTATGTGCCTACCGATAAGCCAGTCGGACAAAATAAAGAATGCAGTTTTTGTTAACTAACGTTTATCATATCGAAGTAGAACCAGCCAGGGATGTTCATCGAGCTCCGTGATAGATCCCCCGACGATCCTGTCGTTAGTCATTATTCCACACACGCTCGTGTCCGGCAACGACCGCTTCGTTACTGCTTCATCAAAAACTGGAGGACAGCATACTTTGTACTGAAAAATTAAACACGCTGTATTAAACATACTGTATCACTTCTCATGGGTCTACAATAGATTTTTTTTTAATTTACTTATCTATTTTAGTATCTATACATAAAGGGTCAACACTTCTATGTTATGTAGGATGTCAGCAATCACATTACATTTTTGACTTTTTTTATGAAAAGCCCTGCACTTATGACACTCCTGTTACTGCTTTGTTTATTTACCTGACTATGCAAGCGGATCCACCGTCGAATATATATGTATATAGACGCAGTAGTAAGGATTTGCGTGTTAGTTCATTAATACAAAAGATAAAAACCGTTATTTTGTGACTTTATATATAACAAATCAAATGAAAACTAAAACTTATTTCCTTTAGTGAACGTTATTTACTCCGAAATCTTAACAGCCTGGTTAGTGTTATTTAGTTAAATGAAAGATACCTATTGTCTACCTCGTTAGAGCTACACCGTAAAGGCATCACAATATCCTTGGCGTACTCTGCCTTGTCCCTGACAAGATCCAGAATGGCCGGACATTCTTGAACTGCAACACAACGAGCTCCGCTTTGACATGCTCCTGTAAGTATGAAATAAATCCAATATAGTTACATTATGTTTATAAGGGGAAAAAAAAATAAATGTAGCAATCCTACTAACATCATAAATGCGAAAAAGTTGATGGGTGTTTGTTAAAGTTTGTCGCCTAAACGGCTTAAAAGATCTCGATATTGTAGATAGATTGGCATAGTCTGGAAGAACACATAGACTATTCACTTTTGTTTTTTTAATTCCACGGACGTAGTCGCGAGCGAAAGTTACTAGATCAGAAATAAGCAATTACATGTATCTAATTTCTAAATTATTAACATAATTTTCTTTCCATAAGACTCTACTAAAATGTTTGTAGGTTTGACAAAAAAATTATAAATCTCTTACAAATAGAATTGTATGAACGTATCGAAATGATTAGATATAACTATGATATCTACTGGCTCATAAGTGGATTGTAATTTAAAAAAAAAACAAGACTCTGTAATTAAACCTAAGAGGTTCGACAGGATTCTAGCCACAATAACAGGTTAGATTTAAGCTGGTTTTTCAACTATATCTACGTCGGGAGGAAAAATAAATTAGAAAAGAGGAACTGTTACTCTTTTTTTGTAATTATTCGACTTGTCCGAACGTCATTGCTTTACATCTGTAAAGATATAGTAAAATATAGAATGAAAATATAAATAGTGAGGAGTTGCGTTTCCAATAAAGAACAAAATATTCCAACATTCACAGAAACAACAGAAGTAATTCCTGAAATTATTCTTCTTGTAGGAGAAGGAGGCAAATTAACAACCTAATAATAATTGATCCAATTTATATTCTCGTAAGCACCTTTCAAAATGTATCTGATTTTGAATACTCAAATTTATCATAAAACCGAATTCTGCAACTAAAACAATCATTTCAAAACGTGGTTTATAGTCCTAATTTTTGCCAAATCTAAATGACAAGTAAAGATCGTTATGAGGCACTTTTTGTAATTCATTTTAAACAATAACTCAGGTAACATTTTAAAGTTTACAAAGAATTAATGGGAAAATTGCGGTCTATTTGAAAACATGAGGCAAAAACCAGATAAAACACGACAAAACGCGAAAATAAAACATACGAGTGTTATTTGTCTGACGTAGCGTGTATTTAGGTGTGCTTTTTATAAGGGCAAACGATCGGTGGGAGTACGCTCATGGACATCCGCAACAAAGAAACTAAGTTGAAAATACCGCAGAGCACAGGCTGTGACCACAACGCGGCTGTGCGAGGCATAATATTCCGCGACAACCGCACCGTCTAAGAATTCCTACCATCCTTATGATATGGTTGGTACCTGGCAGTATGTTAGAAATCTTTAAACTATGATCTTTTCTACGTAGTTTACACATTAAAATTTGCACTACGGGTTATTACCCGTTTCTATTGAAATTCGTTTTCTATTGAAAACTATTTAAAAGTGGCTGTCGTAGAAATTTTTATATAATCGTGCTATATCTTAATGGTTTCAACTGTTTTTTTAAAGAGATTTATGCCAAATTTCATCGAGGACGCCCATCCATCTAAACTTTCGCATTTATATTATTAGTTACATATTTGAAATAGCGTACAAGGCAAATGTTATCAGATATAATGTACAGCTATGCTATTTGCCGAGTATTTTCCGCAAGCGCACGTCTCTTAATAATAGAGAACGGGTTTGCTCTCATCATATCATTGGTTGAGAATATTATTGTTGTCGTGAGGTATAATCGCGCTACAAAAGGTTACAAAATATTATTACTTCTGACACCACTAACGTATTTACACAGCGTCCCTCTTCCAAACTTATACGGACCCCGTATACGATAATCTAAACCTAGTAAAATTAATTACGTGAAAGTTGAAAACGATTTTGTTTTGTTTTTCTTTTTTAAATTGATATTCTTTGTAAATTGACTTTGCGTTTTAGGTTAATAAAAATATTTTACACAGTTAACGTTATCGACAGAGTAACAATAAAAAAAGAGCTTATTTAAATAAGAGAGACAAGAATACACGACTTTCGTTTCGACAATATTATCTTGTAAGACAAAAAAAAATCTTTAAAGTTAATGTTATTCTGAATAAAGTAAATACACACAATGAGATTCAAAAATGCGAAAATGATTTTGAAAGATTCTTGTTCTGTTTAATAATTCATTGATAAACCCGGGGTAAGATATTCATTTAATACGTAACTATTGATATATTATTATTGTTTTTTAGTTATATTTTTGGTGTAAATTCTACTTAAGGACTATATTTATTTTTCTTACCAATTTAAAAAAGAACTATTGTGCACGAGTGTAGGTACATAACAGAACCGGTACATTATTAAAAAAACATTTGAAGTTCTATGAATTGACTAAGTAGAGAGTACTGGAATTAAAGTTGTTACCTTTAATATTCAAAGTTGAAACCTAACCTTACATATTTATGTAGTTGACTGTACATCTTCTTATATTTTACTCAAAGTTATATAACATAATTTATTTTTATAAGTATTTATTTGTAAGATAGTCATAATAACACAATGTATAATTATAAAAAATACATACCTTGGACTGCAGCAAGCGAAGCCAGGATACTTAAAACAACTGCTTTGCATTTTATATCCATTACAAAAAAGCACAAACTTTAATATAAATTTATCATAAATTCACTTAATGTTGTTAAAACGGCGACCTCTTGTGAAGTGATAGATAAACCAGCTACTTGTACAAAAGGTTATCGACGATATACCATTTTATTCGCAGCAAATACACGGAAAGTAACAAGATATCCTATATAGGCATATGTTTGATAAATATAAAATAAAAATCTTGTGTAACGACGCGTGGTCTCCACTTTTGTTCGTACCGTCAACTAAAGTGAATCGACCAGTAGTGTTCGCAACCACGTAGCGGACATCAGGTTTTCGCGAATTTTAATTCGTATATATCCATTTCTTATATATATGACTAACTATACGACAATAGTGTCATTTTGAAATTTACCTTGCACCTGTAACTAAAAGGGAATGCTGTGTTTTTATCTGTGATCTAATTGATAGAATGCATTTATTAGCATATTGGAACATATTTTCACTGGAACTTAACAAAAGCACGGCGTGAGCATTAAGAGGTAGACGTGCTTAAATCATCTCTGAACCGATTGATAGCTTAGACAGTTTTAAATCGTTTAGCAACGGCTCAACAACTAAATAAACAGCTCACGACTCAACGCGTTATACTAAAACTATGGAAGCCGAGGAGCTGTGAACTGCAGTGATTCGCAAATACCGCAAATCATGGCTCTATGCATGTACAAATTGCTGATTTGCCAAGCGGTTTAATGATCCACAGGTCATCAACTTTAGTTGAGTTACCCATGGGTTTAATTAGACACATTTCCTGGTAAGTCGATTGAGAGAGAAAAAGAAATAAAAATATAGCCGTGGGTTTATATTGCCGAAGCGTACAAAACCTATTATGACACTTTTTGAAGACAATCACAATTATTTAGAAATATTTTAGCAATAGAAGCCCATAAAGATTTAGACAGGACGAAATATCCGGTTCATAATGAAGAGTCTTTTACAGAATACATAAAGATGTGGAATTATTTGACTAACGTGCGCAAAGGTGAACATTCGTTACATCATTTGTAAAGTTTTTTCCTCAAGACACGCAAATCAGCGCCGAGTAATTACCGCAGGAAATCCCAGGAGTTATAGCGTTGTATATTTTGTTCGAATTACCTTTCATTTTAGCGTTCTCCGAGATTAAATACATTTTTGGCTAGTAAAGCTGCAGTCTTCGTCAATTTCTTGTCGCACACATAAATATCTACCGAGGAAAGGATCCATTCTTTGATTGTTTTGTTGAGGTATGTAATTACAATGTTCTCATTGCACCGGTCCTTTAGAGAGTTAGTAGAGGCAAGACTAACCTAAAACAGTTGAAGCTTTACGCCTTCGATTTTATAGCTATCTTCATAGGTTATTCAAAACTATCAAGAAAATAAGTTACGTTAGTGCTACTATACTGTTATAGGGATACTTATTGAAATGTTCAGAAATTACACAAGCGATAGAAAACATATTTTTAAATTGATTCAAAAACTTATAGACATGCTTTATTTATTATTACTCCAACACGAATAAAAATTGTATTCAATTTTACTTTTTATTTGTCAATTTTATAACAACCTAATTGTAATGTTTTTCTTTGTTTTTGTTTAGACACTTATATATTGCTTTTCACAAATGGGGAAAGGGATTGGCTCCTGCAGCACAGGGCACCCAGTGTATCTACACTTATTCTTACTCGGCATCTGCCGAGCCTCTCAGGAAACATACATTTTTTGGAGTTAAATAATAAAGCTTTCGTTCATTTATTTATTTATTGTTCTTTGCCATGTGTCTCGCTATGTCGTTAAACAACTTCAAGCCGAGTGTGAAGAATATGATACTTTTGATCAACTGCCAAGTGAATCTGTCGCTGGAGACTGTCTTGTATAACATGTGAATACTTTTCAATGACGTAGCCATTGAACATGATATACGGTCCATTAACTGAAAACAAATTAAAAACTGGTCAAAGAGCTGGTAACTTAATAGGTGAAGGGATAGACCGTTAGGACCTGAGTTCAAATCCGTCATTCGTATGCTGTCATGAACCACAACCTAGCTCATAGGCGTCATCGGAAAATGACCTTGGCTAAGTCTAGGGGAGAAGCTACCATAAATACGGTCTTATTCAAAGTAATTTTTAACTTTAGAATGTAATCGAAACAAGTTCATTAAGCGGCTATACGTTTAGAGAACCTGTCATCAGTTTTAACTTTGCATTAAACTTTTTTTTTAAATAAAATTATAATAACACTTATGCAGCATCCATTTAACGGAACTGGTGACCGTCCTCGAGTTGCTGGTGCTCTGGGAGTTGCATCGGGATCACGACGGTCTGATGACTGCTGATGGCTACAAGTGTCACTTATACAAGATGCGAAGCTCGGCGTCGGCGTCCGAGGCGGCCGTTCCTCCACAGACCTCTGAAGTTCATCATGGTCCTTGTACCTCGAGAACGCCCGTTTCAAGCTTCGCAAACCACAACTCGCCATTACATTACATTTGTTATTATTTTATTATAAAATAGGGATGATTTTGACATTAGTGATTTTTAAATTATCTCCTGACGTAACCATAGATGTTACTGTCTCTCTTGATTTATGTAGTTAGGTTTTATTTATATTTATGGTCAAAATATCAATGAAGAGCTCTATAAGTAAAAAAGAAACCGTAACCTGCGTCCCTTTTCAGTATTATTTTCTTTTCTTTGTAGTTATTTATTTACGTCGATCACATGAATTATTGTTTTAAATATATGAGGACTTTATGTTGAATAAAGATCTTTGTACATAATTGACGATCAATAACATCTACAATTATTACGATTTCTCACTGAAGGTATAAGTTTCTCGTCTTATATCAATACTATAAGTAATATTAATAATATAGTTGCTATACATATAACAATACAAGCGTCAATATTAAGCGATTGTACAAAATTTACCTTTGAATGTGGAACTCGCTTAAACATTGCTTTAAAACAAACATTCGTTACCATTTACATAAAATTTTTAACAGGAAAAAGTGTTTAAAAAACATAGCCATCTTGTTTATTGAATCCATTAGCAGATAACATAATGGCCTTTTTTTTCAGAAAAAAAAACCTAAAATACTCACTTGCGGGCGTGTCAAATTCTGGTACAGTTTCGGAAATTCGCGGTGTTTTACTTACAGAAAAAATACCCTGATCCTTACAATGACACTAACTTCGACTCTTACAAATAACCAATTGTAGAAAAAAGTCATGTACCATTGACCGGCCTTTATCATACAGGAACATAAGTTATTGTTCAGCGTTCTAGTTTTAGTGCGTTCAAATGGCTCTAGCTTTTAAAGTGGAACACCGCCAGATTCCCCAACTGTACATAGTAGTAATAAGTCGTGGATTACAGCACGGTCCGTGTTGCCCTGTCTATTTTTTATCTAAATCTCTATCCAAATTCGTATTCTTGAGAATGTTAAGGGAAAACAAATTATCCATAACTTTCATTGTATAACATAAAAGTAAAGGTGCGTATTGACCGACCGACTAATTAGTAATTTACCCGTAACACTGCGTACTGACTGCATAAATACTCACCATATAACATGGTCCATACGCACCTTTAGGGACAAATCGTATAAAACATGGAAATCCTTGGATTTTTTAGTCATAATAGGAAAACGCAATGGGATTCTCTCGTATAAATTTCATTGAGATTAGAGTAACTGGTCCATTTTTTGTTTCACACTATGACGCAATACGGTTAGAGTTCTGGTTATTCCGTTTTAAGTACTTATTAGTTACTCGTCTAAACTTATCACACATGTTAGTAATAACCGCACTTGGAAAAGTTTAAAAAAGTAAATATAAAACGTCAATTGCCAATATTAGCAAAAGTGATTATTAGTTACTATCTTTCATTCGCCCGTGACTCCGTCCGCGTGAAATTAATAGAAACAAAAGCGAGTAGCCTGTGTGTTCTTCCAGAATATCCTCTACATCTATATTATTGAAATTCGTTCAGCCGTTTTGGCTACAAACTCTAACAAACATCCATGCATCTAAACTTTCGTATTTATAATATTACTGGCTTTCGCCCGCGAATCCGTCCGCGCGGCATAAACAAAAATCAATAGTAAATAGCATGTGTGTTCTTCCAAACTATCCTTCACAGCTATGCCAAATTTCATCGAGATCCCTTCAGCCGTTTAGGTTACAAACTCTAACAAACATCCATCCATCTAAACTTTCACATTTATAATATTAGTAAGATTTATTTATTATTATTAATTATAAGATTTATAAGTTTAGTAAGAAGTAAGATTATGAATCAAGGCTTTTTAAATTATGAATTAACCTTCACGTGACCTTTAAACGGTCTAACCATGACATTGCACCAGGACCTTGAACATAAACATTTTATTTTATAAAAATAGTTGTGAAACGTAAAGATCGTTTCATAAATAAAATCAAAGTTGTTCTTATTTCTGAAATGTAGTAATAAAATAGATCGGAAAATAAACAAATTGCTTAGTGTTCAAATATAATATATAAGAATACAAAGTACAAAAATGTTATACAAAACTGGCTTTGCTAATTAACGTTATTATCACATTAAAACATTGCAAATGGACTAGTGATGAGAAAGAAGTCTTGATTTTTTCTTGTCTAAACGGATGCCGGTTAAGAGGTCGCGCAAACCTGAAACTAAACTATCACACGCACAACTATTTAAAATCGCTTTAATTCCTATGGTATATGGAGGTGCTCACACTACTCGATTTTCAGTTGTGCACTTAAACAATTGAATTGGCTGCAAAACAATCGACAATCGCACGACAGTTGTGCGATAATATAGCCTCAGATGTGCGCCCGCTCAAAGTGACACAGCTTACAAATCAATATAGAGTTCATATAAAAGTGTATATCTATGCAAAATTATGCCAGTTATAAACTATCACACAACTGTTTATTCTCGCTTTGATTCCTACGTACATACTTATATGGAGGTGTCGGACACTACTCGATTTTTAGTTGTGCAACTAAACAGTTGAATTGGCTGCGAAACAATCGACAATCGCAGAACAGGTGTGCGATAGTTTAGTCATAGGTGTGAGTCCGCTCATAAATAGGCTTAATCAAGCAAAGTGTAAATTTGGTATGATTTGAGTATTATTTGTTAGAATTTTCAGTTACGTCGGGTAGTTTCTATTAAAAAATCGGTTAAGCCCGCTATGCGTAGTTCTAACAGTTTTAACTGAACAATTCTCCACATAGAGTATCAGAACTGAAGTTCTGTTGCGGGCTTTAGCTGTATTATGTTATCTTACAAGCTAAAAAAAGCATCAGTCACTTAACATCCGATAGACAGCGATTTTGTTACATATAATTCAACTGCTCATATTGTCTAGAATCCAATCCATGTAATAGGCAACGTTGGTGTAAACGCCGGGGAAGCCTCCGATGCCGCAACGCTTAGATCCATACGATACAATGCCTCGTTGTACATACCTGATAAAGGAACCAATAACTTTATCCACACTGAAATAATGTTTAAGCTAGTCTAATTATACTAATGTTATAAAGAGAAGAGATTCGTATTTTTGTATGAGTTTAAATAACTCTACTACTGGGTCGACTTCTATCACGTGCGCGCAGTCGCGAGCAACAGCTAGTAAAGTGTAAAGTGTTTATGTGTAATTAGACTCTAGGACCCATTTAGTGGTAACTAGCTGTTGCTCCGAATTCGTCCGTGTCAAATTAAAAATAACATAGCCTATTCAATAATTGATAACGTAGCTTTTTAATAGTAGACGAGTTTTTCTGAATGGCCCAGTAGTTTTTAAGTTATTTCAATACATAAGAAAATACAAATCTTTCCTTCCGCCATGTACCAATGTGATTTTCATTTTCTGAAATTAATATGTACTTATTTTCCCCACGTTCTTACGGTGAAGGAAAACATCGTGATGCAACCTGCACATATCCGCGAAGAAATTCAAAGATATGTGTGAAGTCAACCAACCCGCAGTGGGCTAGCGTGGTTGACTATGGCCTAGTCACCCGTAACTTAGGCTTAGGATAGGCCCAGAGCCCCTCAGTAGGGACGTATAGTGAGCTGGTGATGAATGAATTATCGGATAAAGTTATCTGTACGTACCTCACACCGGATACTGTCCTACCAGGGTACATCAGTGGACCTCCAGAATCACCGCCGCATGAATCTTTATCCAAGACACCACCCGCACACAATTGAGTTGCATGAATTTTAGGAGATCTACAAACAATAAAAGATTTTAATAAATCTTACTAATATAGTGCGAAAGTTTATATGGACTGATGTTTGTTAGAGTTTGTAGCATAAACGGCTTAACTGATCGCTAATTTAGCATAGACGTAGAGGATAGTGTGGAGGAACACATAGAAGAACAGGCTACTCACTCTCTTTTTAATTCTACGCGGACGGAGTCGCGGACGAAAGCTAGTGTATAATATATAGTATAATTGTTTTACTTTTAGTCAAATAAATAATTTATAATGTTATTAATTTTGTACCCTTCTAAGTTATATTTAAAGCTTAGCTAAGTATCCAGTTAATAGTATCTTCCAACCACAAACGACAGACCCAGTAAAGTATTATCTGTGGTCCAACCTATTAAATTGTAATAACAATATCTGACGGCAACAATAACATGTTACGCTAAATTGGTCTTCTGACCGCTAATAAATATTGACAAATGTGGTTAACAAACAATTGTTTGATATTAAACAATAATAACAGACAAAACAATTAAGTGATTAAGCGTTAGTTGAACATTGTTAATTTTAGAAAATTACTACGACAAAAAAACGATCGAATTCTCTGTTAGCTTGATATCGCTATTAACAACTCTTCTACTATGAAACACGTACAAAAAACCTTAAGACGTATAAACGTACAAAATATTGATTTAAATTGTAAGGAAATAAATGTTACAATTATAAGAGCGTTTGTGGCTCAGGGGATTGAGCATTTGACTTGTAATCGACAGGTCCTGGGTTAAAATCCGGATTTCATATACATAGTTCACCCGAAGTTCTTACGGTGAAGGAAAACGTGATGCCTGCATATATCGGCGAAAAAATTCAAAGATATGTGCGAAGTCAACCAACCCGCATTTGGCTTTTACTTTAACTGGTTCACTAAGGCTTAGGCACCCCCTTAGGGTCTGAGCCCCTCAGTAGGGACAAATAGCTCGGGATTTTGAAATGTTATAGTTACCCATTATAAGCCGCTTGACATTCTGGCCTAGGAACAATCGGTAGATCAACACTGAGCAGAACTGGAGATTGAAGTCCTTCTTCTGTGGCTCCCCACCCAGCTACCACTCCTATTAAATGATCCAAAGACTCTCTCTGTAGGTCTCGTGTTGTCGGCAAACATATTGGCTTCATGCTATCTGAAAATAAATCATTCATTATTCATTGCCCGAAAATACGACGACTAAAAGAGAATACCTTAGACTAAACTATCGCACAACCGTTTGATCTTGTCGATTCGTATGAGCTTATATGGAGGTGCACACTACTCGATTGTTAGTAGTTGCAACAGTTGCGAAATAGTTTTAGTCCAAGGTGCACACCAAATGTAATATTAATGAAATATTAAAACTAGCCTAACTAATTGTGTTAGATACTTTAATGGAATGGAATAAAAATTTGTTTCTTAAGTTTTGCCTCACCTAAAGAAAAGTCCGCTCGTTCCGACAGCCGCACCAATGCTATATCATCTACGAGAGTCTGCGGAGTGTACCCCGGGTGGGCTATCACACTGTCGATGGTCACATTCTGTAATACACAATAGAAATCTACATAATTGGATTCCAAAATCAAAGAAATCGCACTCAATCTGATCTCTTTACACAGGGAAATATAAAATGTTATAGTTAAGTATTGCTTTGTTCATCTATACATTAGGAAAGATTTATATTTTTGTATATATTGAAATAACTCAAAAACTACTGGACTGATTTAAAAATTCTTATACCGTTAAAAAGCTACGATATCAGTGAGTAACATAGGCTGTATTTTTTTTTTTAATTTTACCCAGGCAAAATCGCAAGCTACAGCGAGTGTAGAATATGCTTCTACACAGCTAGCTGTTTCGACAATAGGTGCGTAAAAATAAAGTTTGAATAATAGGTGCTTAACAATCCACTGACCCTCGCTCTTGGAGCACAATTCAGCTCGCCCTCGACTCTCTCGCAGTCGGGGTCCCTCCTGACGTCGTGTTCGCCGAGCACCACGCCCGTCAGCGTCAGCCGCGGCCCGAGGAAGCTGACGCAGTGCGCGGCCGTCAGCACGTACCACTCGGAAATCAGTGTACCGCCGCAACTCAACTTTGTTCCGCGTGCTGGGAAAGTGTAGACAATTTTAATATGAAATAATATGTTTTTTAAGCTCGTCTACGCACTATGACCTACAGTGACATAGGGAGGGGGAGTGGTGTATAATAGATAGCTTTTGCTCTTGACTCTATCCGTGTGGAATGGAAAGTAGCCCATGGAAGAACATTCCAGACTTACCTTATACTATCTATGCTAAATTTCATCGAGATTCGTTCAGCCGTTTAGGCTACAAACTCTAACAAACATCCATCCATCTAAACTTTCGCATCTATAATATTAGTAAGATGGCGCAGGAAATATTGCTGTTATAGGGGAGTGAAATATCATGACATATTATGGGCATTTTCGTCGTAATAGTGCGTGCATCTGTACCCATGTAGATATATTCTATAGACGGTACGATCTCTTACCTGAATCATATGCAATCAGCACCATCCAAGGCATTTCGTATAGCCGTGTCTTGTTCCCACCGAATATTCTATCATTTTCGATACTTCCACACTGCGTTGGCAGTAGACCGAGGTTCTGATGTCTGCTCACGTCAGGCGGGCCGTTGTCAGAATTATTATTACCATTCTTGTTACCGGCATTACTGGAACTATCATCTCTATCATTAGTAATCGCACTACAGCACACCTGTAATGAAAAATAAAATAAACATTAGATGTAAGTAACTATACTTTGAGGTAAACGTAGTTTTCATTATTTCATGTGTAGCCTAGGTAATATCTAGTATTCCTATACTAGTCTTTTTGATATGACGTAACTTGTACATGGTATTTGTATTTGGTTAAAGATAGAATTCCAGGTTTTAGTGACGTTAGTAAGACTAATTCACACTGCCTTAAATGGCGCTAAATAAATGATTAGTGCCAGTTTGAATTTGTATGATACATGTCGACGAATTCAGAGGAAAAAGCTACAAGGAAATAATTTGTTCTTAAGCCACGGGTTGCAACTGGTTTCTTCAAATTCCTTTGATTTATCAACTAAACATTTATGTTAAGTTGACTTTTATGTCGCTACGTGGCTCAAAATATATTTATTAATTCTTTTTCTTTTATAATAGGAAAACTATAGGACAGGTTGCATTAGCGATTTGGGCCCACGTCTTCTTTAACGTAGAATTTAAAAAAGTACCTTGCAATTTTTCTGCCTGCATCAGCTACCTTCTCGTTAAAGTCCTGGCAAAATTGGTCTTGTACCGGAGTTTTCCCGGAACAATCGCGAATTTACGGACAGACAGAGAGACAGACAAAAATTTAAAATGTTGAATTTTATATCAGCAACGCGAATATGTCTAGGCGTGTACAGCACTTGGCCAGTGTACAGCAGTGGGCGGTTGATAATGGTGATCTTAACACAATTTAAAGTGTAATAGAACGTAGCAGGAATGGATAGTGGACTCTGCGCGACGATGTTCTTGAGCCGTCAATGTATTTAAAAAGAAACGTACCAATGGAAGATCCTGGTCATAGCCGCAAGATAGGGATTGTAATTTTCTTCTTAATTGTACTGATATCGTGGTGCCGCTGTTCTTTATTTCTTTCATCAGCGGAATACAATCTTTCAGCTGAAGACAGACACCCGGTCGATTATCATCCTGTATCGCGCAGCTAGCGCCGGAATATTCTGAAACAGATGACAACAGAGTAAGTTCAAATAGTTACACAAATCTATAAAATGTTGAAAAATTACGTGAATGACATCGATTAACACGTTAATGCCTTGTGGCTTGTAAGTTAAGTTTAACACAAGAAAATCTATGCGTTAATAATTAATCAATCAATTCTTTCAATTTCGAATCGATATTCTCTTTGAGTCGATGGGCGGCACTATTTTTAACAAGTTCCTGATACCTAGTAGTACCTAGCACATAGTACCAAGTACCGAGATACACCTTTGTTTGCGGCGTCCTATTATTGTATTCAAACATTGTAAAGATCTTATAAGGTTCTAACAGATACAGATCAAAAAGATAAAAGTCATTGTAAATTGCCGCGTGTGGCGCAAGCGCAAGTAATCCTGTGCATTAGTAATTTAGTAAACAGAAGAACTGCTCAGCTATTTGATCGTCGGTTATTCAATTCTTGAAATTAAAAAAAATCATATAATTTTATGACGACAGGCGAACACTGTTAATATAATAATATGTCGTCCTAAGATAAGCAGAATATTTTTTTTTTGTTAATATTGTAAATACACTATTAACCAGGTAATTTTACAATTTGGTTTACTGATATCTCTTTCATCTACCCACATTGTAAAGAGAAATATCACATTTTCACATTCACATAATTGCTTTCAAATGCATAACATCATTTCCAGCGATGCAGACTATGTTAGAAAAAATAATTAAATTTGATTGTCAATACTAACGATTGACGTAGACTGAGCCTTTTGACCTCAAATACGTTTTCAGCTTAATAACTACAATAAAACTTTATTTACTCTGTTTTGTACTACAATCAGTGAAGTAATTAAGGTTTGAAAAATTTTCCGAATATAGGAATTTAAACTTATTTATCTAATCTTATCTTAAAATGAAGCATTCAAGCAAAAATTTTTATTAAAGTTAGTTCTAAGTATTATATAAACATTTTATTTCATTTAATAAATGATTTATGTTTGACTTCTAATAATGTTGATTAATTAAAAAAAACTATTGGTTAATAATTAAAGTTGATACTCACGAGATTGTACAAACGTCAACAATGATGCAGAAAAAATAAGAAACTGTAAACACTTCCACATTTTGTTTTTATCTATCTCACTTTGTTAATCTACAGCACTTGCGGTTCTCTCAAGATCTGATGCCAACTAACACGTATCAATAGAGGATATCTAACGGAACAATCGGAAAGTCATTAAAATAACATATTTATTTACAAAACTCGCTACAACATCGAAACTTTATTGAACGCATCAAAAAAATCAAACCACAATCACTATTTAATATCTCCTCGATAAAGTTCACGAAACTCGAATCTAAGTAATATATTTGATTTGAATACGACATGCTTTAATTTTGTTTTAAATAATTTGATGAATAACATTTAAATTTTAATAAAACTTGATTTCGTGACTAATATTGCAAGAAGTACGAAATGACATTGCTCATCGACGGCCATTCGTCGATGCCGCGTTCATTACCATACTTGTTTAACAAGAAAAAGCAAACTGTCTACCTTATATCATGTATGATGTTTAAGTAAGCAATTTTGAACTTTAAATACCTAATCTTAAGACTTAATTTCTAATGCACTAGCACAATGTAATTTTAAAATAAATACTCTTAAAACGGCCACGGAATTGTCAGTTCCGTTCACTTCCAAATAGGACCAACAATCTGATGTGCTGGTTACTTATATACTAATAAATAACATAAAAGGGCTATCCCCTTATACTGGTTAGTAATATGCCTAACGGTGACTTAGCGCTGGTTTCCAGAAAAACGAAATTATTATATTTAATTACACATAATATATCACCTTCGTAACGAGTAATCAAAATGTTCGATACAAGCTTGTGTTAGTAATATCACGGATCATTTTCCTCGAGTTATTTGAATATTTTTCCTTTTCATAGACAATAGAATCAACATTGATGAATTCGGAAATTTAAATACATTTACCTTTTAATATTAGCTTGCATAAGATGGTATGCAAGCAAAAGATAGACGTAAAGTGGGCGACGAAGATGAAAGAAAGAGGCTCGCTAATTAAAACTCCGTTATCTACCCATCCCTCTGGGTTTTTAGATGCATATTAATTTACGGTAATATTGTACTAGATACAAAATGGAACTGAAATTTCCCCCATGAAACACGATTGTTTCTATCAGAGAAATGTGATTCAACATGAGAGATCAATTTTTATTTTCTTTTAAGAACAGAGGAAGAACGCTCTTGTCAGATTCGACGAGATCAGATCAGTAGTAAAATACTTTCAAACAATTTTTTAAAAGCTATGGTCCCACAAATAGCCACAGTATAATAGACCATGTGCAATCTATTTCGATTTACATCATTCAGAGGAATTAAAGATCTTAGCTATAAAAATTGATAATATAGGAGGACAAGGATAAAGAAAGGTGATCCTTGGATTTTTATTTTTAATTGTACTTTTACGTTCAGCTGACTGTACCGTTAGCACTAATGATGGGTTTAAAATCGAAACCTGAAAATGATGGTAAACTAAGGTAATAAGAAAAGGCAGATGGTTATTTCTTCGAATATTCAAAATTCTTAGTCACATTAAATAATCCAAGAATTTGAAGCCAGATGTGAATGACTATGTTACATTCACGGAATTTCTGCAAGCTAAAATAATTCCACAGTTAATAATAAAAAGCTAATGTATTTCTTATCGAAAAACTTCCATAGCTGTTGGACCTAACCGTTTAGTTCGTTGGCTTTTGACTTTTAATATTGTTTGTATCATTTTTCCGATATCTACTTACCTATTTGAATAAAAAAAATAAACTAGTTGTAAAATTTTGTTCTACAGGTGTTTTTAATTGACTTTGTAAATCTTTCAACTTTTGGGACTGAAGATAATTAAACAAGGTTTGCAATATGTTCTTGATGATTCGTTGCATAGTAGATTTTTAAATAGTTCCTAAGTAATTTTGCATTGTCAATTTGTGAGAATTTACCCCAACAATACGCTATTGTGTTCCGAATTAAATATCCATAGATTACATATCCAGGTGTAAATGTAAGAAGCGTAAATTAGTTGTAACTACTAGTTAATATCGGCGTGGCTTGACGGAGATCAGAATTTAATTATCAATAATAATTAGTACCTACGATGAATTGCAAAAAATTGTAGAAGAAAATCCTTTAATAAAATGTTAGAATGTACGCCGCTTTAGGCACGGTATTAAGATCACATTATTCACGTTTTAATTAGGTCATAAATTCAGTTATTGTGATGTTAACGACTAGTTCGCAGCAATTAGGTCAAGCAACGAAACATATTCAATTGTAACGCTAGAGGAAAACAGTGACGCATTGAAAACATTCCCTAAACTGACATACAGACATTTCTGTCATATCAATTACATGTGCTGAAAATAATTTCAATAACTACAACTTTTTGGATAATGAAATGAAAAAATTAGATACTATTTTGTCAATCAGATCTTATTATTACGCAGGGTAAAATTAAAATCCAGCCTTTACTTAATAATTCACAACAGAAGGATTTAGAAGCTACTAAAATAGAATAAGAGAACATTTTTTTATGGAATGATAGAAAAAAAGAAGACTTAGAAGTTATTTCGCCTGTTAATTTACTTATTTTCCTTGTGTCTCATTACAAATAGCTGGAAAAAAATTGCTTACCTTTATTTTATACCAGCATGAAATCTCTAAAATATGCAGAACAACACAAAAATCTCATAATCGATTGTTTGGATGACGATTGTATAAAATTAATTCTTCACTTATTTAACTCAACAGAATTTGTTGTACGATATTGCATTCGTTGTTAAGTCGATTACAAAGCGTACATTTATTGGTGCAAGGAACAATGTGGAACTAATCGCTTCTCATCGCTTCGTCTGGCCCAGTCGCATAAGAATGAGGTGGGTGAGAGAACGTTGGCAGGCATGAACTTCTATCGAAAGGGCACTCAGCAAATTAAGTATTTATTATTAGTGACGTAAATTTGCTTCAGAAATGGGTGTAATTTATTGGAATTGCATACTTATGTTCGTAACGATCGTGAGTCATACATTGGGTAAGCTTGTATTGTCATTTGAAGAAGGATTTTTTTTAAATGTGGTGAACTGACGTCAATGGGATATGGTCATGACAGGTGACACTTGGCAACAAATCGCAAGTCATCCTTCATGGAGGAAGTTGGAGACGTTAGAGTGCGGTTATAGCGCCGCAGACCGCATCATCGGCGGCCTTAATGCAGCGCTCGGACAGTTCCCATGGATCTTACGACTTGGATATACCGGTTAGTTACTTTATAATGATAGCAAGAAAACAATTTTCGTATTTCTAATAGCTACCTAAGACTAAGGTTCGTTTATAAATTAAATTATTTCCTAAGCACTTATCTAAAACCTTGGTATTATTGTTTGACTTTTTAGCTTCACTGCCGGGCTTGTCCAATAATTTATTTATTAAGCTATTGCTACCAGACTCAAATTAACAATTATTAACAAATCAAGACCCAACTATATAATTTGTCAGTTGCATGGAATAATAAAAAAATCTCTGTTTAATTAAAGTGGAAGACGAGGAAGGTTTGGACTGGATGTGCGGCGGAGTGCTGGTGACGGACAGGCATGTGGTGACCGCAGCACACTGTGTGAAGACAGCAGATGACGGCATTAAATTGTAAAACATTTTCTTAATGAAGACATAAAGTAAAACATCTCATGGAATTATTTTGAAAAGAGAAGTAATAGTGTCTCCTTACAACATTGGTTATAGCACTTCTAGCGCTCTGGGCGATATAGCCATGAAGCCTCTTATATGAGTACTTTTGGAAGGGTAAACAGGGTTATTTGAGACTGTATAATTCGGAGACCTATGGGTGCTCCTTTCTGTCGAGCGCCCAGGACGGTCGTCCAATTTCACCTTCCCTAAGGCTGGCCCTATATGACATATCAAACATGAATCACTGAAAAACTGCTATTGGTACGATGTATTATATTAGATATTATTTATACAGGGTGTCAATACGTGCTGGGGAGTACGATACTCGGACGGATCCCGATTGTCAGATGGGTGTGTGCGCGCCGCCGCTCCAGGATCGCCGCGTGAAAGTCATCCGCAGCCACGCGAGCTTCAACAAGCCGCCCTTCCACAATGATATTGCTGTTATTGAGTTAGATTCACCGCTCGACTTGAATGGTTTGTGTTATGATTTAATCATCATAAAAAACATAATTACTGACAACCCCAATCATACCGTCATATTCGATGGTTTGTGAACCCGTTGTCACACTCATATTCGGTTTTTGGTACATACGGAAATATGTAAATGAAATAGTAACACATTTTATATTCTTTTTTTTTATAACTAAGATTGCAAACGAGCAACCGGCCACCTGTATCCGCCGAAATGGCTAAGCGACCGCTGCCAATATTGCAGATGCGTTGCCTACCCTTATCTGACGGAGGAGGAGACGCACATGAAGAGGACAGTTCCCCTTCCTATGAATCTCCTCCATCGTCAAATCCTATCCTCTCTTTACAAGAAAAGGGTGGTAAAGAGAAAGGAACTTAAATTAGGTCTCAGGCACCACACTTATCAGACGAAACACGGAATTGCTTCCACTTCACGCCTGTCTTCTGTATGGTCGTGGTATTACACCGGGCGTGCCGGCCCATTCTTGCTAACATGTTAAAGCTGGCACTACCACTGTAAAAAAATTTCTTTGTAGAGTCCTCGTAAGAATAAAAATAGATACCTGTACATAGTCTTTTGTAACTTGTAGACTACGTGGCCCCGATCTGCTTGCCGCAACGGGACCAGCTGGCCGAGTTGAGCTTGGGTGAGCTAGTGATGGTGGCGGGCTGGGGAAAAATGAACATGTCTACAGACCAGCGCGCTGACATACTACAATTCGTTTCGGTAGGCATTGTCCCTTTACCAACTATGAAATGAAAAAATGACCAAGCAGTTTAACAAAGGTCATGTACTTTACAGTTGCCAGTGTTAAAGCCAGACTCTTGTGGTTTCTTCGGAAAAGGCTTTAAAGTAGAGAAGTCAGAAATATGTGCCGGCTCGCAAAGGAACAAAGACACTTGCGGCGGAGACTCTGGCGGTCCTCTAATGAAGGTATTTTATTTGAAAATATTCTCAAACTATAAGCTAATGTGTTCGCAGCTTTAGATAAGTTATAAGAAAAATGACGTGAATTTTAAGAATAAATCATTTTGTTGGGTAGTTTAAATGTTATAAATTACCATTAAAATGAGTCCTTACCGCAACCCACAACATTAGTCATCTAATTTATCACTTTAATTATTATGCCTTTATTGCCGAAACTAAAAATAACTTAAATTGCTCATTTAAATGGTTACAATTGATTGACACTGTTGTAATAGTTACATCTGTCATTCATTTGTTTGTTGTCGACATTCAACTAAATATGACCAATTTTGAGTCACAGATGCAGAGATTATAAGAAAACAAACATACAATTTAACTAGTCGAAAAACAGTTATTTCGAAATGTTTCTTATTTTCGAAATATATTTAAATGCTTTATTTTATGATCTTTCGCAAGTGATATCTTAAAATAAATACGCGCTGTATTTGCAAGCTGTGGTTCCCCGGTTGTGTTCATATGTGGCAAAGGTTGCTTGTGCCCAAAACATAACTTTTTTTCTTTATTAACAGATCTTTGACACGCCCGAAGGACCAAAAAGTTTCCTCGTTGGTGTGGTATCGTTCGGACCGACTGTTTGCGGAATTAAAAAGCCAGGCGTTTACACATCTGTACCATATTTCATGAAATGGATTTTAGATAATATTGCTTAATAGAATATTGAATATGTTTGTCATCAATAAAAGTAATATAAAATGAACACTCAGTTTGTGTTTTATTTGGTTATATCAAGGCACATTAATTGTCACATTTTAAACTTAATAACTACTTACCTATGTGTGAATGTGAATCTTAAGCCAATATTAATTTAATATTACTTATATACTGATAAGATAATTGCATAAGTAAGTTATCTTAATGTTTTTTACATAGATCAAACGTAATCCGGCGCATAGAAATAGGCGGGCAAAAGGCTTTTGGAGGTCTATGATAACTTTCCTTAGTGTTGTCATCAATCTTACAAAATAGTAGAATATTTAAAAAAAACACACCAATTTTGTTTTAGTTTTTCCCGAATTGACGTAAAATTTCTGTTATACATATACATCATGCAAACTAATAACATGTATTATTATTTTTTAAAATAACAACACCGATATTATGGTCTATGAACATACGAACAATACAAGTGAACCGTTGAGTGAATGAATGAATGCAAACGTAAAACATACAATATTACAATATTCAGTTCAGTTAGAATGACAACAAAGGTATAATTTATGCGCAATACAAGTGCGACGGGTTAAGTCACTTGTTAGCTTGTTACTTCGTAATTTCATACGACTATCAAACAAAACTCCGTGTGCGTAGTATGGAGGCACATTGTAAGCATTGATAACCGCCAATCCAACTCACTCGTTACGTAGACATCACCCAGTGTAGTTTAATTATATTTATGATATTTAAAATAACATAATAATAATAAAATAATGACTCGCTTTAGCGCAAACTGGATGTGGCTGGTTGTCCTTGTATTTGGATCTTTCCGTAAGTCTTATTTGTATGTTAATATTATGTTTTTGTTGCGCATTCGGATTTTCCTTCTGTATTCCGCAAAAATGTACATTCTATACGCCGCAGTCACACAATACTTACGTATCAAGTTTCTGCTTATTAATGTTTCTACATAAAAATTGTTTTTTTTTTTATTAGTTTCGCAAATTTTGTTTCGTATAAATAATAGTAAGTATATCTTATTATTGCAAAACAAAGGAATAAAGAAATAAACATATGCTTCACTCCCGCTACATCATTAAGTTTTTTTCTCGACTGACAACTTGTTAGCCCTGTGTGATTCGGTCTAGGTAGGCACTATATTACGTCACGCAACTGATGCATTTCTATATTAGAAAAACACTCCTCAGTCTATGAATGGTAAATTATATAAATTAAAAAAAAAATAAGTTAATTGAATGGTAAATTGTTACCGTCTAAACAAGAAGCATAACTTCACCATTCTAACTTTTAAAAAATCCGATTGATATCAGAATAATTGTATTAAAAAGTCAATAAACAACGAAAAATAAAATCCTTCGACGAGATACAATCATCTCACCAGATCTATCGTCACCAGGCTTTCGTCCTGCACATCGACCTATCTTCAGTCGTCACTCCCTTCATGGTCAAGTTACCTTTTATGTAATTCTTGGCCTTCCTGTACTATTTCTTTTTTTTCATTCTTACTTTCACTGTGTAACATTCAGATCTATACATGTTACCAATTCTAACGAAAAATGTGTAAATTTTCCTTTTTAAATATAGTCGATCGATCGATTTATTACGAAATCATAAATAACAATAAAAAATTTTATAGACGCTCGTTTTTATTGCGGTATTTTCGGTTCCCAGAATGAGGGTCGGTTAATTAATTTAGTGATTCAGTATCGCCAGGTCTTTCCACATTTGACTTTTTAAACTAACAATGATGCATCTAGACTTATTAATTATGGGGAAATCCGAAGAAATGTTCTTTTTATAAAAACAAGATGGTAACTCCTGAGTAACGATGTTAACTCAGGGGTTAACTTGCCTTGAAATCAAAGTCCTGTATTCTATTACTATCATGGACTCGACTTTTGAATTTCATATAGATACCTACGTTAATCAGATGTTACGAAGAAACAATATCGTGATGCAACCTGCAGATGTCTGCAAGGAACTTCATACATATGTGTGAAGTCAGTCGATCTGCCCTGTCCCAGCAAGGTTGATTGAAGCAACCCTTAAGGAAATTCCGCTTAAGAATTAATGTGAAACGCGATCTAAGAGCTCGGTCGTCTCCCAATCCAGTAATAATAACGAAGTAACAGCTGTGCCGAGGCTCCTGAAGGAGCCCTCGAGCTTAATTACTCATAAACGAGGTTAAGGCGAAACGCCATCTGCGCTCGGCCACCTCAAGCCCGGTGAATCTGTAAATGCCTCTTCAAGGCAACCAGTGGCCATCCGTCACAAAAAAAAATTAACCGGCTTCGAAAAGAAGGAGGTTACTATTTCGACGGTTTTTTTTAATCAAAAAATCTTTGATTATGAATTATAGTCGAACAATAGGCGACCACTAGTATGATTATCTCATTGTTACTCATATTCCCAGCTGCAATGACAATACATTGGGCGGCGCAAATATTGGAAACTTTACACTAAACCATCTGTGTAACACACACTATACAGATACCAGCGATACGATTAAAATTCTATTTAAGAAAGCAAAAAAAAATATTTCGAGCAATTAGAATAGAATAGAAATAATTTTATTAAAAGACAAAAGACTTTTAACAATTACTATTATATTTATACTGTCTTAAAGCTAATTATAATTTGTAGTTGTTGGCAGCTGTTAATTCGCTATTTTGGCGAATTCAGGGGGCCTTTTGCTCATTTGCTACCTAACACTATAAAAAGTACTATAAGTTACCGTTAAACGACTTGGAATAAACTCTTAAAGATTCACTATTTAGATCTTTACCGAATTAGAAAACATCCAGGTACTATAATAACATATCTAGATAAAGCTAGTAAAAGTAGTTCTTCTATCTCTAGTAGACAATCTAGTAGAAAATAGATTGTGCGTGTTCGTCAATTTCATGGCGACCGAAGTGTCCAGTCTTCGGCTTAATCTATCGTTTTTATTCGTATTATTAATGATTTAAGAAATTTAAATTACCTTTATTAATGCAGGAACAACATTATCACAGACTGACATATGTCTATCAAAAAACAAAACATGCACGATTATAACTACCTGTTCCTCCGCCTTAGAAGCTTTAAAAGCTAGAGAAGACACATTGTTGAGAAAGATGTTTTGTGGATTCGACGTGAGAGGCCCAAAGGTAATTAACTCGTAGATACTCTATGAAATTATGTGTAAATATTGTACATGGTATTTCAATTACTATATTCTTCGGAATACTGAATGTAAATTTAATAGAAATGCAAAGAAATCTTCTTGCCACAGGTGTGCTGTCCGGTTGATCATCGTCCAATAGTATTTAAAAACGATACAGAGACCGCAACAAGCAGACAAAAAACTACCAGCACGACAATGAGTCCTACTACAACGCCACTAATTCCCACCACAACAATTGCCACCTCGACAATTGCCACCACGACAAGTGCCACCAACGTAGTGGAAGACAATAACGTACTAGAGCCTATGAATACTCCCAACGGGTTACCTTCTCTTAAAGTATGTGGCTTTTCTGGCTCTGGTTCGGATCGCATTATAGGTGGTTCTATAGCTGCTATTGACGAATTTCCGTGGCTAGCTCGTATTGCGACGATGAGTAAGTTTTAATTATAAAAGAATTATGTATCCGTCTACATCTTATATTTATTTTCTTACCTAACGTTTAATTTTAGAGTATGATAAGGTGAAATTCACATGCGGCGGATCTCTGATAACACAACGATTTGTTGTGTCAGCTGCACATTGTGTAGTCGACAGGAAAGTGTAAGTTGTTTTAACCGTTTTTTATATCATAAGGTACCAAATTATTAACAGAGGAGGAAACAAAGAAAGGGGATATTTCCTCTTCCTAAGCGTCCCGGCTTCCGTCTTTTCCAGTTCAAAGCCAGTCCACCTGTTCACGCGGATTATCTTCGCCAAGTATAATAGAAATTATTTTTTAAATAGATGTATAGATTTCTTTACTGATTCATCAAGATTTTACTTACACTTGCAATTTCTTTTTTAACTACACGGATGAAGTAATATTGTTTAAAACATCGATACTGATATTCAGAGTGGGAGTGCGGCTGGGCGAGTGGGATACGGAAACAAAAATCGATTGCTTTGACGAATACTGCAGCGATCCTCCTCTAGACTTGAAGGTCGGCCAAATTATAATACATCCCAAGTACGATAAACGACTGCACAATGGAGATATATCACTCATCAGATTGGACAAAACTGTTAATTACACAGGTATTTATAACATAAGCATCTATTACACCGGGACTGTTTCTATTACTGAGAAAAAAATCTACAACAAAAATATTAATGATTAATAGCTTTCGCCCGCAACTACGTCTGTGTGAGATTTAAAAAAACAAAAGTGAGTAGCCTATGTGTTCCACCAGACTACCCTCAACATCTATTTCAATTTTTATCGAAATCCTTTCAGCAGATAAGCTACAAACTATAATATTAGTATGATTTCTTGTTCAGATTTTATCCGGCCAGTATGTTTACCAACTACTAAATTTGTGGCCAGTCAGGATTATGTATTCGGGACATCTTTCACAACTGCAGGATGGGGTCTCACTGAACTGGGTGAGTTTATTATTAATAATAAATATTAATTAACGTACAGTATTTATGTTTTTACGAAATTATAAATACACATGACAATTGCTGTCTTTTACATATTTTAAAATGTTTCTGTTAAAATTGATGAATTGATCTAATTAGTCTGTTATTGCGTCGTTAAAAGATTTGTTATTATATAATTTCTCATTTCCATTAAAATCGACAGGTAATGTGTTTAAAACAAATAAGATACATGTATATGTTAATAGTAATTAAGTTGTTTCGCAATAAATCTTGCAACTGTGTGTAATAAACGTTGACTTCCACAGATGTACACAAGACATAACTATTTCGATTGTTTTTTAAAGAATTTTAAAGAGAATCATCTATCATGTTTTGTAAATTATCGACAGTGTAAATTATATTGACTTTATAAATATTACAGGAACGCCATCAGTAATAAAACAAAAGGTGGATCTTGATACAGTACCAATAGACATCTGTAAAGTGAAAATGCCACATATCAGCAATTTGGACGTTGATAAAATTATATGTGCCGGTGGAAAACCTGGCAAGGATACTTGTAACGGCGACTCCGGAGGTCCTCTGACTAAAGAAATCACAATTGAATTCCATACAAATGCATATCTATTCGGTATTACTAGTTTCGGTGTCGCCCGCTGCGGCGTTACTGACACGCCGTCGGTGTACACAAGGATAACTGGGTATTTGGATTGGATTATTGCAAACATCAACGCGTGATATCCAAACAATGACTTACTTATAATTACAAAATGATAAGATGTAAAAATGGGTAAAACCCACAAGGAAGAATCAAGACGTATTTAATTATTATTGATTACCATAACTGTGATAGTAAATTACGTATAAATTTTAGATGTAATCAGTAATATTTATAAGTAGCATTTTTGCATTGTTGCTTTCAATAATAAGAAATATATGTATTTATTGGTACTATTTTATCAAATTACTGTATTTTAAATACAAATAAATTTGATAAAAAAGAAAATAAAAAACATATCTTAATGTGGAAAATACAAGATCGGATAGAAGCATACTATTTAAAATCTAAGATCTCGTTGATTCTATGAGTCTCTGTGCACATTGATCTCCAAACCAAATTCTTGAGAGGCGAAGGAATTTAATTTGATATTTGTAACCCAGTAAATTATGTAAGATTTAAAAAAATTAAGACCAAATATTTTGATACGTAAATCTCAAATAAAAAAATCTTTTTTGTTATAAAAATTATACATTTTTTGTTAAACTAATAGTGAACCAAACTCATGTTTCAACTAATAACTCTAATTGCAATAAATTTACTTAAAACGCTTAAAAACACAGTAAAATGCATAAAATAATCCGATTTTATTTTTATCAATAAATACAATTTTGTGATTATCAAGATCGAGCGCGAATTGTATAATTATTTGTTTGAGTAAAATTTCAATATGAGTTCACTTTTTGAATTGTATATTTGTAATGTATATGGTTATATTTAATAACGCACACATATATAAATGTATTTAAAAACGAAAATATCTTTATATTTTTTCTCAAGCACCTGTTCTTCCCGATTTCGTAATTGAGGATTCAAGAAGATAGTAACACTGTAAATATTCTTGTAGAAGTTTATTTAGTATCCTAGTCAATCTCTGGTATAGTGCAACAAACGTTAATAACTACAATTTATCCACCAGTGGACTGATATCTTTGCTGTTACACTACAAGATAAAATTATATTACAACATGAAGTTAAAGGTGAAGTACATGAAGTACATCAACTGTTATTAGCAGCTTCTATCAATGCTGCCAAGCAAGTCATCTGAATTCCCAAAAACTTTATCATCGTTTTCAATTTTGTCCATACATTTTTGCACATCGCTGTCAAAACCATCACTCAGCGTCATTTGGTAGGAACGGTTTCTTCGTCCCCGTTTCTTGCCTGAGCTTTTCCTCGGCGACAAGCGAATGTTACAGGGGGAATACGATCGTGGGGCGTAGTACCTCTCGAAGAGAAGCGGTTGCTGTTGCACTCGACCGTACATTAATTCCATTTCATGCAAAAATTCTTCGCGACGCATTCTCTCTTCATCTCGCCGCGTTTGTAGTCGCATTGCTATGTCTTCTTCGTGACTGAAAGACAACATTTGCATCAACCTTCAATTCACATCTATGCTTGTCAAAACATTATTAGGGGTTACATTAAAATTCTTACTTGTTTTTCACGAGATGCCAAGCTGGTTTAGATCGTAACTGGCGATCTCTTTGCCGTAATTCAATTCGTCTTCGTTGCTCAGCTAGACTGGAAGCCGCTTCCATTTCGAACCTCCTCTGCACGGACTCAGCTCGCAACAGAGCTGCCAGGTTAGACCGTCCAGCCGCTGCCCCTTTCAGTTCCAATGCAGAGTACGCGCGAGGTTTCGCGATACAATCACTGATACTATCAGTGTTTTTCCCAGGTTGGTACACTTTTTGAGCTATATCTAACATCTGAAACGGTAAAATTATTACTGTGAAGTTTGCAACCTCATTTTGAATCGTTGCTACATGTTTGATAAATAAATCTGGGTATACCCTTTGATTCGCCCTATTAGCTGTCTTGAAACGAAATGGTTGTGGGCTGGTCGTTATAAAGTCATCTTTGGACGATTTACATCCTTTAGATGGACTGGAGCATCTGCCTCTGTCCGAGGATAATGTGGAGGGCGCGGCTGGCGAAGGGTCTACTGGCAGATCACTGTGCGCTGCCGGCGTGGATAGACGACTGCGGTCGCGGTTCGCCATGCTGCCCGGGTAGTTGGCGTTTTGTAACATTTCTTCTGCTCTGATACGACGATTCATTGATCTAATATAACAAGTTATTAATAAACATTAGACATGAAACAAAACATATGCACTGCCGCTTTTATAAGCAGTCTAAAATCATAAACCCAAAGTAGAATTATAAGGAAAGTATGATGACATTGAACACATCGTTTCCCTATAGTTATCTTTAGCCTGTGGTCATCTTCCGCTAGATATGCCTTGCCTAGCTAGGTAGGATTTCCCATTACTCAACAAAAAGTATGGTCTCCGACCGTTAGTACACTACCGTATCCTTGACCACATCATGGATGATTTCCTGAGGCAATTTGCCTCCTACTACGTAATAGCTAAATCCAAGAACAGAAAACTGTTATTTGACCTGAAAAAATCATCCTGCTTCTTCTTATCGTAGAAATAATTAGAGAAAAGATTCTTCGGAATTGGTCGAGCTTTGAAACGCTTCTTCTTTTTAGGTTTTGGTAGAACATGTATTGCTCTTTCACACACTCCTGCCATCCCGTTTTCTTCTCTTCTGGTGAAACTAAACGGTTTCATCTGAGCCCGAAGTTCGGCTTCGCTGTTTATTTTTGTTATAGCACGCCTAAATAAAAAAAATCATTATAAATTATAAACAGTGCTCAGAAATTATTAATATGAGCATTGGATATACCCAGGTTAAGGGTTATTAAAGCAAAGCTAGCAAAGTAAAATCCCTCGAGATAGCGTTTTAAAATCACTGTAGTGGTACATTTACTTAAATCGTCTTCAAATAAAAGTCGCAACCACAATATATCATACCTACATATTCTGCCACATCCGAACTTTGATATACATAATGTAAATATCATTTTTATCTCGTATCCTGTTAAATAATGCATAATAAATGTATTAAATTTACGTAAAAACTGATAATTTTCCATCCATGGTAATTATTTTATTACCAGCAAGTTATATAATTCAATTTACTTTTTAGAAAAAATAGATATATCGGTTTCAAATAGCATTACCCTTAGAGTGCTAGGATGTTATCATGCACGAATATTAGTATGACCTAATAGAAATTTCAGTTTTTCCCCAACAGATTATGCAACTAAGAAGTACAAATTATCTCATTCTAGTGCAAAATACTTGAATCTAGTTAGCTACTGTTGCTGCAAATAATGAAATCCCGACCGGCACTTTAAAAAAAAAACAAAAGAAGCATACAATGTTTGTTTTCATTGAAAACCTCATAGCCTGGTCTTCGAGAATCTTGTCGTAGAGAGGAATTCGTGATTCTATAGGTACGGGCCGGGCTCGAAATTGCTTCCTTTCTCGTTTTTGGTCCAACATATCGTCTGAAAACGATTTCTGTAGTGTACGAAGTCCGCTTACAACCCGTTCATCATCATCCCTGTGAAATTAAAAATCATCCGTTACAAATAAGAATAACTTGGGACTAGGGTTTATGTACGTTTAAAAAGAATAAGTTACCTAAGGGTCATTTTAAAAGGTTTCGGAATAGTTAAGCTTTTTCTGTTGCGACTTGACGATCTAAAAGATTTACTACGTAGGGGACTTGAGGGCATACTTTGTGTTCTAAACTCATCTCTTTGATAACCATCTACTTCTTTTAATTGAAAAAACTTATTAAACTTTTTGTCTATTTCACATTTGTCACGTCCAACTTTGTCATCATGCCATGAAATGGAACACGCAGAATGATTTCTTGATTTACTTTTACCACGATCTTTATTGTTTATATCATTGCTCTTATTTTGATTCACTTTTAAGCAACTTCCAGGAATCTTGTCATTAACATTTTCGTTTGCTAAGTGCAAATTCAGCTCCTCCAAATCTCTTTTCTCTATTGATGTTTTTCTCCTTGCTATATTATTGGTTTTGGGATTTTTAATCTTGTGACATTTTTTAATATCACATCCATCGATAGAACAATTGCTAGTTTGTTTATTAAAAACTGAATTATTTCCGTGGCTATGTAAGTATTCATCACTATATTCTACAGGGAGTCCTAAAACAGCTCTCTTCTTTTCTCTTAATTTTTTTAAAGTTGAATAAAATTCTGATGAAGGTAAATGATTAATATCATTGTAGTCAGGTATACTCTGATAAAAGTCCTTTACTTTTTTATCATAAGCATCGGCAGGGAAAGTTGTTGTGCTGGTTGGCGAATCAATACAATGCGAATCTACTAAAGTCTTACTGTTTCTTTCGTATGCTGTTTTTGGCATTTTGCTAATAGGATCTCTTGGAACTTTAACGCAAGAGTTCGTAAAAACACTACTCATGACTAAACAGCAACATTCTACTATGAATTAGATTTTTCTTACACGTAATCCTTAACTATACATTAACTTTTTATGTTGGTCGAATGGTTTCCACGGTTACTTCATTACGCACAAAAATTATAAATTATAGGGTGTGTGGAATTCAGTATAAGGGATGAATGTTATATATACACATTTCTCATAATTTGCTCTTATAATACAATATCTTATTAAATTAAATTAAATCCACAAGAAAAAACAAGTCAAACCCGTGTTACCATGTTGCAGTAAGATGGCAAATTGAATGACAATGACTGACAAGTAACGATTGTCAATGTCAGAATACTATGTCATTTGACAGTTGTAAGAAATATAAAATAAAAACAAAAATATAAAATTGAATTCTTCTTCTTAACTTCGATTCTTTTAAAACTTTAAGCAATTTGCTCATTGGATAAATAATCGTACATCTTAAGAAGTATGTGAACATACCAATCCAACTTAGGCAAAAACTATATATATATTTTCACAAAAATGTTGCGGAATCGCAAAGCTTTTGTTAATTGTTGGTTTTATCCGACAACTACCATGTTAAAAACTAATATGCGATCAATAATTTCGTTACGAAAATTAAGTTCATCACAAAACGCAAATATAAAAGAAAGCTATGATGTTATAATTGCTGGCGGTGGTATGGTTGGATGTACTCTAGCATGTGCAATGGGTTCGTATAAATATCAACTAATGTCATAATATTTATCGTTCTATAGATATTTCGATAATAATATGGGCTTACATGTATTACAGGTAAAAGGGCTTTACTTTCAAACTTAAAAGTATTATTGCTTGAGGGCAGCCCTAGCCAAACATTTGCCATGAAACAAGAGTATAGTAACCGAGTAGTGGCATTAAATCAGAATACGAAATCGTTAATGAAGTCACTGCAAGTTTGGGAGCATGTAGAAAAAATGCGGCTTCAACCGGTCAGATACATGCAGGTACAGAATTTTCTCATCATTTGTAACCTTGTATGTAACTCATTTTGTAAGTGTTATTTTTATCTCTAAATTTCTTACTGCTCTGGCACAGCAACTCTAAGTGTGTGTCTTGGCCTCTGACAAGAGAGGTGGACATATGGATGTTTGTACACATGTACACAACTTGACTTATTTAATCTGGATTAATAAGTCTACAGTCGCAGAGAAATTACTCAGATTTTCTTTTCATTCCATTGAGACTGTCCCATAATTGTAATATGTAGTTTGTTATCTTAAAATATAAATAAATCTTATATACTTGACATTGGCGAAATCTCTAAGGAAACACCATTAACATAAAGGATAGATAGATAGATAAATAATTCTTAATATTTAACGTTTTGCTATAAGACTTTACCTGTTTTATTTTCCAGGTTTGGGATGCATGTTCAGATGCATTAATATCATTCAGTAGTTCAGACATACTTGATGATGATGTTGCATACATTGTTGAAAATGACGTTTTGCTGCACGCTATTGATAAGGAATTGAAGAGCTCTGCTGTGAAGAATGTGGACATAGTATATGGAGCTAAAATAACTGGTTATGAACTACCACAACCTAATAGTCAGACTTCAGAGAGTATAGTTAAAATGAGTAATGGAGATACCTACAAGTGCCAGTTATTGGTAAGTACAAAGAATTAATTTTGTGTTCTACTCAGAATCTCGCGCTGTAAACTGTCACCTATCTGTGTATAACATGTTTTTAACATTACATTTTGATTGTTCAATGACATTACACAATAAGAAAGGGTAGTAAATGAAAATATTTGACTACATTTATGTATACTAATTTTAAATAAGGATCTTGTTTTGATCATTCATACAAAATGTTAACAACATAAAAGTTCTGGATATCTTGGAAATGTTGGAAACTTTTTTTTAGGGTTGGATAGAACTTTAGATGCTACTAGCTGTTCCCATGCAACTTCATCCACATAAAATTATGAATATTTTATTTTATTGTTTACATGTGTCAAATTATCAATTGCAAATGACAAAATGACATGACAATGACAAACCATAGCAACCTTGCTTCCTTGATGTTTGCAGCAACTTATGGTCTCTTTCCCACATTAGTGTTTTTATTAAAAATATTTACCCCCTGAGTTTAATGGCGTGAAAATATATAGCCTAAAGCGTAACATAAGTGTAGGGCTTTTTATTTAAAAAAAAGTTATATTCAAAAAAAATGCTGTAATTGCTGACATCTAAGGCAACAAACAATTGTGTGTTTACGCTTTATTTTATTAAATAGTATAGAAGTAGAAATATAGAAGTATAGATTTAAGGCGCCAATAAATAAAATAACAAAGTTTAAAACACACTGTATATATTTTAACTACTAATTGTACTACAGTATATTTACATTGCTATAAATAAGAATAATTTCCTGTTGTTTCTGAAATTTATTTTTTTTAAACTTTATCTGTTATCTAGTTTATTTTCTATGATCGCTAGACGTGATTCTGTACTTTCCACTAACTTATTAATTTTCTTTGTCAAATCTGCTAATTGCGTCTTAATATCTACCATACATATTTCTTGTATTGCATTAATTGTGAAAGACATTGGTCTGTTCCTTTCCACGGACGATGAAGTCTTCTTCCTTCGCTCAACTTGTTGGTTCTCTAATGAAAACTGATCGTACAGATTGCTTTTTCTCTTTACCACTTGTCTTTCTACGTCATCGTCTTCTTTACATCTCCGTATGCGACATTCGTAGTTATTATTTCTTCTTATACTCTTTTTTGTACTGTGTCGACTGGCTACCATTTTGTAAATGGATGATATTAGTTCCTTTGGTATCTGGACAGAAAGTAAATGTAATTTTTACGAGAATTTAGTCTGATCAAGTCTCAAGATATTATAATTGATAACGACACCATAAAATATTCTATCGAAAAAAATATAACATTAGATGTTAGAATTAAAAAAAAAGGTTTTTCAGTTATTTCCACACAGATTTTTTAACATTTGTCCAACAATCTGAAACATTTATTTCAATCAAAGTAAAAGCGATATCAATCTGTTTTGAAGTCGGTATGAGATATAAATGTTTTTAACAGTGCAAACGCAAATCGTTTCGTAGTATCTAGTATTGTTTGTGGGTAACCTACCCTGTTTTCCCTCGGGTCATTGGGTCGTATGTTCAATGTTCGTATATGGGTTGCAGTCAACAACGCCCCCCATCGCAACACAGCCAATAGTTGTCTAGGCGCACACGTCAGCAATGGACTGAACAGCATACTCTCCAGATGTGCCACTAATTGAGTTTGACGCACTAATCTATCCAGGCCGGCGCTTTCTTGTAATGCCTGATAAGTAAACATAGATTTTAGTATATAAAAATTATTAAAACACTTAGGCTATCGAAATTGTCGGACCGAGATTAGTTAATGCGCTGATCAAAGATTCGGAATCCATAAATCTATGATATGTGTTCTGGATATTATTTATATTGAATTTTAGATATAAACTAAAGAACGACGCCGATGTTCTGAACCTTACATTTTATTCTAAGCAATTACTAAGGTAACTATATCTTCTACTAGAAACAGTTTGATGAATATATTCACATCCACAAATATTGGCTACTAATTTAAGTCAATTTCTGGTGTTTTAAAACTGACCTAACCATAGCTTATAGGAAAGACAATTACTCTTAAACATACTACTACAAACATAAGAAAATACTTAATATTACCTGTATATCACTAACAGCCAAACCAACAAGTAAGTTGGTCAATATAACAGTGACTAGTACAACAAATATCAAGAACATTCCATGCGCAGTGAACGGATAATGTATCTGCGAATCCGTGCCGTTGCTGTAGAATATATCCTCATACTCCAGTTCTCCTGACATCATCATAACGGTCTTCACCAGACCAGCCGGTAGATGGAACGCAGGGTAGTTACTAAAGAGCACGCTGAACGCCAGACCGAATGCTATTAACAGGCAACTGTATGCAAGGAGAAATGTTGCGAAATTCACCGTTACTGTGAACAAAAGATAACGAATGTTAAATCTGGGGTCGGAGCTGTACCTTCGCTGAAGCGAACATAGGTGTAAAGGCACTTTTGATACTCGAAGTTGTTACCATTCAATTTTACATAGAGTTTTTCGGGTGACTCTCATTAACCAAGCGGCCTACCGATCCAAACGAAATAAAATCTCATTAAAACTCGACTGATGTGCTGTTTTTAATTTTCTCAGCATAACATTTAGAAGTACAATACTACCTGTAGTAAACATTTGCACATATAATCCGAATGTAGGGAAACGTCCTATGATCATCATCAGCTCCAGCCAACAGAAGAATATAGTTATAGCAGCGACATCGTGTTGCCAATTAGATGTGCTCTTTGCCACCCCATCTTCCATGTACCAAGTCGGCACCTTAAATATCAATATAATATAACTTGAATGTTTCCATCTCAATATCGGAAACTTCGGAACATTTTCGACATTTAGTTTTCTTACCGTACACAGGAATACTCCTATGATAATTAATATTTGCAACCAATTCTCCCATTGTCGAATATACGCGGAATAATCAAGACAAGCTTGGAACAGCTCTTTGCACATGAAGCATAGATTTAGAAGTAGGATCAGGTATTGCACAGGGCGTAGATATGATGGCACGGCACACGTCACGTCTTCACAGAGAAATATTTCTGAAAGATAAACTGGCATTGTATTTGTTATTGTTGTCTATTTCAGTTTAATTTAAATAATACTCAAGAAATATAGATGTAAGGTTTAGCTGTCTATCTAATAATACTACGTACTCTTCATTTAATCATTTTGTTTTGCATAAAACAAAATATTTTCTAAAATATGAATTATACATCCCATCTGATATGCCAGCCAACGAAGCAAATTAGCATGATTTGTTTGGTTTATTCTCAGTTTCGCCGACTTCTATTTTCGTGAATACACAATAGCCACAGCATGCTCCGACTTTAAACTGAGATTACTCACGTAATATGTAGATGCTGTAGAGTGTTATAAACAGCGCGTGGTACACAAAACTCAATACGAAGAATTTTCTTATTCGTCGCCATTTTAAAAACAGAAATGTCTCCGCGACCGGGTGTTTGAGAACGTCTTTATGACCGACCTGAAATAAATACCATTTCCTGACTATAAATAGACTTAAAAGATTGTTTAGCTTTTGCTTTATTGAAAAACCACTTTTGCGTTTTTTTTTTCAGAAACTAAAGTATTAAATATAACAGCCAGAAATTTTCTAAAGTGCTTTTATTTTCAACAGAATAAGCTCAGACAGTTGCTGCTTAGGAAAAACTAGTAATTGTCACGTGATCAATCATTTGTTGTAAACCGAAAATGTTCAGGCCTTGAAATCTTCTCATAATTCGCTAAATCCAAGCTCTTAATTGTCAACCTCTGGTTGCCAACATAACGATAGTTTTCGGACGATAAAGTAATAAATAATTGTAAGCTACTTGCCTCTATGAAAGCCAGTAGTAGTTCAGCTTCCCCTCGCGATAAACACGGCACTAATGGCCTGAAGTCAATAGTAAATTCGCAGTCAACATCGCCCAGCTCATGCTCGCTGACGTGTACCGCGTCATCAAACTTCCTCAGGTATCTAGGCACCACGTCTGGTACCCTCCGTACTATGAATGATAGCGCTGACACTCCCCCATTTGTACGTAGAGTCACGTCTCCACCGTAATCTATGACAAAGATCAGTTATTCTAAGATTGGAATGCACATCTTTCTACTCTAGGGAAGAGTATCAATAAAATTATACCACACCCTTAATGATCAGTTTAAAAGCAATAGAGCAGCATAAAATAATTCGTAATAAAGTTACAAATGTTATTATTTCTTTATTCTCTGACTATTATAAATATACCCGGCATATAAAACCCTAGTTCTAAATAGAAATGACGAATGCTTATATTGAAATCAAGTAGTGTTCCTCTTTTAGGAACAAACCGCGCACTTGCATGTGATGCGATGTTATTAAATGAGCGATTTAAGATCGTAAGATCAATAAACACAGTTGCCAGCTACGCAGTAATCGATAAATGTGAAATTAGTTAGTCTAAACAAAGTAAAACAGTGTTCGCCATGTTGTTACCATCATATGCGTCAAATATGAACATGAAAGATATGAAACTCTTCTTACCTAATAATAACAAAACGCACGCAGAGAACTCGTTCAACGCGGCAATATGTAGGGGGGTGTATCCAAAATTATCCGGTGCGTTGGGATCCGCCCCCACGGAGAGAAGTAGCCGAGCCACGTCACAAGCACGCGCACCTCGCACAATTGACCCGTGTAACGGTGTACGACCATCTATGTCCCTCGCCTTCACATCTGCTCGTCTGCCAACCAGCAGTTCCACCACCTCTATGGATTGCGCTAGAGTAGCTGGAATACATGACAATTGGTAAATAATATACGCCAATGTTAAACTGGTTTATGCTTGAACTAAACCCCAGGATCAGGTAATATACAACCAAAAAATGGTACCAACTTAGAATTGATGGAGTCAATCCATTCCAAATGCCTTATTGATGTTTAACTGTAGAGAAAGAACTCTCTCAAAGGTACCAAATCATAAACAAAAATGTATATTACCGAGGTGCAACGACGTCTGTCCTCTGGAATTGGGACAGTCTATATATGCTCCATGGTCTAGCAACAGCCTCGCACATTCCGCATGTCCGTCCACGGCCGCCAGGTGTAGGGCCGTCGTCCTGCCGGGCCCCAGCGCCGCCCTCACGTCAGCGCCCGCGTCTAAAAGTAGCTTCATACACGAATCCGAACCTAAAGACGCCGCTACATGCAGGGGAGTCTCCGTGAACACCTAAAATGTTATGATATACGTCATTCTAGCTGTATCGCTTTTTAGTTTAATTTATTATGTGTGGAAAGAAACGTGGCAAGCGGTGTGCCATGATTTGGTTCTATAAAAATTGTGTAGCCAATACTACAGCTTAGGGAGCGTTAACTCGGCGACAGATATGGTTTTTATTTATTTATATTTCTAACAAAAAGTACCAATATATGCACGCCACATATGAAACAGTTCACCTAATTTATAATTGCATCCGGCGTTATTTCTACGAAATCTTTCGTTACCTGCTATCGATCAATTTATAGTTGACGTCATAGCAATGTGTAGCGCACCTGGGGTGTGTCAGGACAGGCGCCCGCTTCCAGCAATGCACCAACAACCTCAGGCGCGTCGCTCAGCACCGCGTAATGCAACGGAGAACGATCGCTCAGGCCCGCATTCACATCCGCACCGTGATTTATTAACACCTATAACATTGCAAATATTAGAGAAAAAAAACACACCACTTTGATCAAGGGTTTAAGCAGATTTTCTTGAAACCGCGCCAATGTAATCTGTGTAAAAATAATGAAAGTTGTAACACTGCTTACTTTGACACATTTCAAACATTTAGCGCTTGCAGCACAGTGCAACGGTGTCGCCTTCTTTTCACTTAGGGAATCCCATTTATTCGGATCCGCTCCGTGGTCCAGTAATAATTTGACACATTCCTCGTTGGCCACCAAACAGCTCAGATGTAAACATGTTCTGGAAGAAAACATTTTATTTTAAATATGTAGCTTATATTACTTATTCGGGTTACTATACACAGTGTAAATGGCTGTAATTTACCTTCCAGAGCCATCTGCGCTGTTAGGATCTGCTCCAAGCTTTAGTAGCCTTGTCAGCAGCGAGCTTCTACCAAGCCAGCATGCCCAAAGCATCGAAGTCTTCATACTGAATTTTGGATTTGTTTCCATTATAAAGTTGATTACGTCATCATAGTGCCCCGACTCCAATATTGTCAGCAACTCCTCAGTATGTGGCAGTTGACGTAAAACGTCCAGTATGTCCTCTATAAGTAAATATTAATTTAGACTCATTCTCAGTTGTACTGAAGCTGAATAAGCTTTCAAACAGATTTTACCCAATTCCCATATATCTCTGGATGGTTTAACACGGAAGGTCTCGGCGGGGTCGACTCCGTGCGCGGATTCGTCACTGGAAATGTAGGCCGGGTCGCCATCGTCCGAGTCCTCGGCCACCTCGCTCATGCCGCCTCGCCATCGCACGCTACCCTCGCGGTATAACTGCAAAACATTACTATGTGACGTTACAAATTATTATATCTATAACACTTGTCTATACTAAAGAGTGGGATAACGCAAGGGAGATGAATAGAAGGGACCAAGAAAAAGATAACAAGTAGATTTTTACCGGGATTTAAACATAAATAACTATTGCAAAACTGTGACGTAGTTTCGCATTATTCCTTTTTATTTTAGCTATTATTTTTTAAGAATAAAATCATTTGGTAATTAGATCAAGGTTACATGCTATCTGTTTTCATAGTAAAAACGTAATGTTTGTATTTCAAAAGTCAAATCATCAAATACTAAAGCCACTCTGCCTACATTGGCACTACTTCTAGAGTCCACATCCTATGAAGACATAAGTAAACTTCGGTTTGAGTCCCGTGAAATAATTGAACTGTGAATAAAATTTTTCTCCTCCTATAACTTTAAGTATTCTTTTTACCATTAACAAACTGAATATAAGAGTTTTAACACTAGATTGTCTAAATATTTGACTAAGTTATTTATTTCACAGCATTATTAACTCAAAATTAAAACAACACAACGCTAGTAGTAGAAACTTGCAAATAGATCAAACGAATTCTTCTCCTTATTTCATTGGTAAATTATTAAAAACACTAAACCTACTCACACAAAACACATCTTGTCACAACTTAAATAAATCATAAAAACTAAACCTTTTTTCCTTTGCTGTTCTTTTTTATAATTTTCGACGGCATCGCTTGTATTATGAAGACTAGTTGATAAAGATCGCCTACGCTACACTGTAGACTGATTCTGCGCACGCGCCTCTCACGCCGGCAATTTCAAATTAAACTTTTTTTTCGTCATCTCTTACGCGAAATACGTCTTTGTAATTTATCGATTCACCGTTTAATATAAAAATGTCACGTTAACTTCGGCGCCAAAACTCCCACGCACAATTTTCAAATGAGTGAAAAGTTATAGCCACTGATTTGTCAGTAAAAAGCTCCCAGTTTTGCTCGCGATGTCAGTTTACATATATTTAATGTCAATTCTCATTATCTATATCATTAACATAGTTGTTGCCCGTATTTAGTCTCGTAGTCAGAATTAACTGCACATAACAGATTTTCGTTGACAAATATCAACGTTTTTTATTTGTCGTTTAGTTTGTTTTTACAACTATGAAAATGCACCAATACTAACAGCTATCCAAGTATGTACTTGTATATGTATACTTATACATCGTATATTTTTTATATATAAATAAAACAGATATACACACGCTAAGAATTTACAGATATGCAGATATAATATGCGCACGCGCTCTGAGTCGTTTTCTCCTAGTACTTCAATTGAAGCTATAGTTTTAGATCTTTATTAGATGCTATATAATTGATTGTTTTACCTACACCAAAACTGTAACGTAAATATTTGGTACATTGTAGTCTTGTAAACATAATCAGCGAGGTTCCGTGCTCTGTTGCTCCAATTTTCAATACCGGCAAATTAGTGTTTCGCCTTCGCAGCTATTTGTTTATCCCTCGGCTAGCAGTGCAGTGCAGACTTGTTACAAAACAAAGCTGCCACACATGCGAAAGTACTCAAGAATTACGATACTAAAACAGACAACCTAACATACCTCCCCACTATACATACATATTTACTTAAATTCACTTGTCTTCTAATTGGATTTTATCTGTATTTCATCTCAGTTATTCATTTGATAATTTGTCGCTTCGTTTAGTTCACAGATACATGACTTATTCAAAACGATGGTAAAATAACTCACTTATACTGTCATCCTTTTTTACTTCTTCACATCGATAGAAAATCTTACTAATATTATAAATGTGAAAGTTTAGATGGATGGATGGATGAATGTTTTTTAGAGTTTGTAGCCTAAACGGCTGAACGGATTTCGATGAAATTTAGCATAGATATAGAGGATAATCTGGAAGAACACAGGCTACTTAGTTTTATTTTTTATCCCACGCGAAGGAAGTCATGGACGAAAGCTAGTTAAAAAATTAATTTGTATATAAGCAACGTTTTTAGAATCTAACAATTAGGAAACAAACTAAATCATAGACAAAGTAGAATTTGACTTGATCCAAATGCCAATGCCGTCACATGGCGCGCCACACTCCAGTTATTGCCGTAGAAAATAGCATGTGTACTTCGGATTCCTGAAATTTGTCGCCGAACATAATAGACCGATACTCGAATGTATTAAAAAAAATTAAAAAACTTACGCTAAGTCTAGATAAAAGATACACCAGTTAATTCTGTAACTTGTTAATTTAGAAAAGGAAAATTTAATTTTGCGACATAAATTGTATTGTTTATTTTTACTTCGCTCTTCATTTCCATGAAGAATTTCAAGGTTTCATTTGACTGATATACATCGACATTGTTTTGTTTTAAGAAATGTTAAAAGTGTGGCATCGATCAGAATTTCTTTGATTGTTCATTATCGAAATATTTGAAAATCTCTGAGCTCATCAAATACAATACATTTTGTTTGAATTAGATGAAACATTAAAATTATGCCATTTCACGTCTGTCTTCGATGGAGTCACGATCTTGCGTAGGGGAAAAGACCATTTATGTAGCTATTGCTGCAATATCTAATAGAGCGTTTATTTTGAGTTATTTCCGAAATCCTTACCTGCGAAACATTGACACCCGGATCGCACAACATAACTTGCACTTGAACCCTTTAACCATTAATCATTCTATTTCACAAATATCAAACCACTGAGTCACTATCAAGATTAACGAAATAACAAACGCAAGAAAATAAATATGCTCCAATCCTTTCGCAATATACATTAAGATGTCATATTTAGTTGACGTGATTCAAACAGAGGCGAAAATTTCGATGGAAATAACAAAAATAACAAATAACTCATTGCTCATATGTTTGTCCTCTCTTTAGTCTTTATCAATCCTGAGAGATATCCAAAGCCAGAAATATATACTTTTACAAATTAACTGGAGCACTGAGTCTGTGTCAAGTTTGTAGACTCAAAAATCATTCCTATAATTTAAATGTAGAAATTTAACCAATTTCACACAATACCTCTGCTTTGTATAACAAATTTAAAGATAAACAATTTTTATTCACAGCTCAACCCATTTAATTATTACTTCCATCAAGGTCTTTTGATTATAAATCGCTCGAGATTAAATTTATAAGTTTACAGAGTTTAACCTAATTTCATAAATGAATTTATTTAGCAATCATACAGTACAGGAATAGTCCGAACGCGATCTACCAGAGGAATCTTTATAATAACAAAACACATGAGAATTCCGATGAAAAGTCTATTATAAAACACATTTGCGTTTTCAACAAACTATTTCAAACTGCAGGTAATATTTCTACGTATTAATCTAGATTTTAGAGTTTATGAGATCTACTTGATAAATGAAGACGAAATAACACAAAACCTTATGGAATTTAAAAAAGTTTTAGAGCATCTATGATTATATATCAATCACCAACATTCAAGTCTTTAAATTGGTAATGATACGTCATAATATTACAACAAGCAAACCTGGTTAGAAACTATAAAATTGGCCATGGATAGACATTGATTATTAATCAAAATCTTTAAAAATAGATAAAACACTAAATAAAAGCTACTAAAATAGTAAATAAAAGATTGATTAAAATGTCAACTCTTTTTGCCATATTTTTTAAACAATCACAAAACTACATTAACTAAATCTGTATAGATTTTAAGCATTAACGTTCACAACTTAATATCTTCTCTATATGCAATTAGGAATAGAATCAGCAAATGAATCAAATAATATCGATGTTCACACAACTTTTTACATCCATGCCTCTTACAATTAAAAATGTTTAATAAGTTTTTAAATTCTCGAAAATCACTTTGTACACTGTACCGAAATCGCGGGTGCCGGTCAAGCCAGCAACATTGTCGGGAAGCACTTTACCACTGCAAAATATCGTTTCGGCTGCCCGCTACGTACGTACAAATATATTGCAAGTACACGTAAATACACGAAGCTGATTTTAGATAAAGCAAAACATAAGGAGCTTGGTTTAACCAAAGCACTTTGTTCTGCAGTTCTTGGATTAACACATAAATAAAATGGCCTTAATCATTTGTAATACAGGTGGGCAAAATAAACAATCACCCTTTTAGTATTAACCGTTAGTACAAATATAAATATAAAACAGACTAATGTGCCTTATGAAATAAATACTTAGTCTCGAAGCAAAACTGATCTCAGGAACTGATTTTTTATAAACTGCATAGCAAAAGATATTATCTTCAGTTCTTGTGTTCTTGTGATCAAGAACTAATTTCAGGTTATGAATTACTAAAGGAAGTTGGTATAAATGAAACAAAAATACTATTGTTGAAAAGCTATTACCACATTTCTACGCATACCAACCATTGTCTATTCAAACTGTTAGAAGAATTAAAAACAATAGCATTTACCTGGCTTTATATCTGCCTACCTGTTATTTGTATATCGTTTGTTGTTTGTTTTTTTATAAGTTCAGCATCCTAACATTTTCTGAGAAATATATCACCGGCTGCATTGTGTTTTGCTTTACTTTGTTTTTGTATGGTCTTTTTTACCAAACCCTAACATTAGATCAAACGGAGAATTCTAGAAAGTTCCAATAAGTTTTTGAAAGAAAAATACGCATACAAAAGTGAGGTCAATTTACGTTTATTTTCATGTTTCATTTAAATAATTAAATATGAAAAAGTCGATGATTCGACCTACCGTATTTGACAAAGAATCGAATCTGTTAAAATATTTCGGTCAAGGATAAGTAGGTAAAAGGACAAACAAATAATATGAATATCATAAAATATTGTGTTTCTTATAACGAAATGCTTAAGATCTTGCAATTATAGCATTGCACCTGTTTTCGTTTCAGATCGGCGCGGACGGTGCAAACTCAGCGGTTCGCAAAGCGATGGGCGTGCAGTACCTATCGTGGAACTACGATCAGATGGGGGTCGTCGCTACCTTACATTTGGCTGAGGTATAGTATATTAATAACAATATAATAGCCTAAAAATTAATATTTACTTACTCTCTGATATAAAAAAAAAATTACCAATTATTACGATCAATTCTCTATACAGTCAACGGATGTTTGTCTTTTTGGTATTTGTGATTATTCGCATGTTGACTGTTTTCTTGGATGTTAATAAATTAATTTTTATTACAATATATATTCAAAACATGTTTTTCAAATTTCAGGAGACAGAAAACACAACAGCGTGGCAACGGTTCCTGCCGACTGGTCCCGTGGCGTTCTTGCCGCTGGACTCTAAGCGCAGCTCGCTCGTCTGGTCTACGACGCACGCGCACGCGAAAGAGCTACTGAAGCTGCCCGATGAACAATTCGTTGACGCACTCAACGATGCTATGGTTAGATTAAAAAAACTACCATTTATAGTCTTGGTTAAATTACTTTTTATAGCATAATTGTATTTTTAAAAAATCTCGGCTACTTGGACACACACAATTTTATAATGATGCGGGGGCAATGCACATTCAGCAATGTAAGATTAGCAGCCAAAAGAATTGAAACGCTCTGTACTTACAACAAATACGTTGAACGATTAAAGTCCGTTTGCTACTTGATACATGGTCCACCTGACCACGTATCGTACTTTTTGCTAATATTATAAACGTGATGCTTAGTTGGTTGGATGTTAGAGTTAGTAGCCAAAACGGCTGGATGGATCTCGATGAAATTTGGCATAGAAGAATACATAAGCTACTCACTTTTTTTTTTTAATTCTACGCGGACGGAGTCGCGATTAGATATCGTGGGTTAAATAGAAAAATGGTAGTATTCAAAATGTACGTTTTTACAAGACAAGCATTAAAGTTTTTAAATTTATTATTGTTAACAGTGGTCTCTTTTTAGTAATCTAATTTTTCGAAATCTTTGAAAAGCTGTTTTCTACTGAATCGACGATATGTTGAACGTGTACGGTTGCAAGGATTCTCGAGGAGTGGAGTGTGTTGCAGTGGCGGCAGTTCCCGCGGCGCGGCGCGGTGGACGCGTGCACGGCGTGGGTGGGCGGCGTGCTGCGGCGCGCGGGGCTGCCGGACGGCGCCGAGCGCCAGCTGCCGCCCAGCGTGCGCGCCGCCGCGCCCGCCTCACGCGCCGCCTTCCCCTTCGCCTTCGGACACAGCACCAAGTACATCGCGCCCGGAGTTCTACTAGTCGGGTAACAATTCCCTACATAAATACATTTATTATTTGATTATAGTTTTCTATATACATATGTCGCAATCGGAAGAAGAAATCAATTTGAATTTAAATCATAATTTTAGACAACTTATTTAATTGATACTGTGGCTTTAAACTCAGAGCAACACTTCTCGTCCAGACCCAGGTTGCGCGCCAAATCTATCCATACTTCTAGTGACATTGACAGCTGTCAGCTAGGGACGTGACGTTTATGCCGATAATCTAGAGTTGCGCCAATTCTATAGCACGGTACTAATTTTATTCCTAACAATAATTAGGACACAAGCGCCGCCAAGCTACTTGCTGGAGAACTTGAATCATTCTGAAAATAGGGATCGTGGCGAGGACATTGTTTGAACGATATGAGCTTTGTAGATCGATGTTATCCTGACTGAGTAGTATTGTGAATGTATTCCTTAAATCTGATTTTACCCATGACCGCCCACATGTGATCTCGATTAGTAGTAATTCTTATATCGTGCTAGCTCTAGCCGTTACATATACGGTGATTCTTAACGGACGGATCAACGGTTTTGTAATATCAATATGACGTATGAAGTATGAAATTACCTTAACCCTAATTCGATAATATCCAGTGATGAATACTACGACCATACAGAAAGCAGGCGTGAAGTGGAAGCAATTCCGCGTTTCGTCTGATGAGTGTGATGACGGAGGCCTAATTCTAGTCCCTTCCCCATTCCACCCTTTTCTTAAGAGGGAAAGAATGGGAAGGAAAAGTGGATTTGACGGTGAGGGTGACGCATAGGAAGGGGAAATTTCCTTTTTATGTGCGTCTCCTCCTCCGTCAATTAAGAGTAGGCAACGCATCTGCAATTGTCGCTTTCCATTTCGGTGGAATCAGGTGGCCGCTTGCTCGTTTGTCACCTTATATTATAAAAAAAAATAAGAAAAAAATTACTGAACTAGTTTAGAGAAAAGTACGTGAGATTTTGATTTTAGTGTGTTGGTAACAAAAACCATTTGCTATAAAGAAACTCCGTCGAATTAAGGGTTTAATTAGAATAATTTATTAAGATTTTAGTATAGATGTTTGTGTTTGCAGCGACGCAGCGCACCGCGTGCACCCGCTGGCAGGGCAAGGTGTCAACCTCGGCTTCGGCGACGTCAAGGATCTCACTGATTTGTTAGCGGACGCTTTGTACACGGGATTGGATATTTGTATGTATTCCAATGCATTTACAAAACAGAAATAATCTCTGTTTCACACAAATACAATGAAAATAATGATATGTTTGTACAAGTGTCTTGTCTTGTACAAACACATCGAAAATGTATTCTAATAATAACTATAATAATCTAATATGGTGGCATGACCAAACCGATTACATGGAGAGAACCAAAATTCATTACCACTAGTTAAAAAAAATAGGTTTAAGCGATTAAGAATTATCAAGAGGAAATATTTTATTATTTGCATTGAAAAAGATATGAAACATGTATATTTTACCACGGCAAAGCAAAGCTGGGGTTGCTCACTAGTTATAGCAAATTAATTTAGGACTCCACTGACAACTTTAACCTTCGGCAACAATATCCTTTTAAGAGATCTTGTAAATGTAACTATTCGTTAGATTTATGCGCGGTTCACACTTAGCCAGTACAGTTGGTCAGTAGCGCTCAATAACTGGACTGGCAATCAACTGGCACTTGCAACTGTCCAACTGTACTGTTCAAGTAAACCGTGCATTAGACATTTAGGGCCTGTCCCCCCAAATTTTAAATTGTCCGATAACAATCCAACGTGTAAAATATGTGATGGATATATCGGATTTCGTTGCCTTATCTGAGAGTGGCGTAATTTTTAAGCTATCTGAGCCTTTATCAGCCAGTGGGACAGGCCTTTAATTTTTAGTTCATTCGTTGTTGTCAGGTCACCACAGCTGGTTACAAAGCTACGAGAGTCTCCGCCAGCGGCACAACGTGCCGACGCAGCTGGCGATAGACGCGCTGTACCGGCTCTACAGCCTCGACCTGGCGCCGCTCGTGCTGGCCAGGAGCCTCGGCCTGCAGATCACCAACGCATTCCATCCCGTCAAAGTAACTATACATTCCAGCTCCACCAGCTTCACCTAGTTATAACCACTGGTGGCCTTGTTTTAGTCCCTTTTCCTTTCCATCCTCTTAAGATGAAAGGATGGGGAGTAAAAGTGGATTTGACGGCGGAGGTGACGCATAAAAAGGGGTAATATCCTGTTTATGTGCGTCTACTCTCCGTCGATTTAGGGTAGGCAACGCATCTGCAATTGCGGATGTCTGGGCATCTGTCGCTTTGCCGTTTCTGCGAATTCGTGAGGCTAGTTGCTCGTTTGCCATCTTATATGCAAAAAATCAGCCCCACCGGCTACACGTGCTTCACCCAGTACAGCGCACATGTTCGCGAGCCATCGAGATATTCCAAATAAATATATACCTAGATACGACTATACTGACAAAAGTATCGCATTTATAAGCATGAGTTTTTTCATATGATTTATTACCTTTTAGTGTAAAGCTCAGAGCGGTTTTTCTTTAAAGTTAATCTATTTGTTTTAACTAAAAACGTATTAACACAGGAGGTATGGCTTGTTTTTACATAAACTAAATTAAATGGGTGTTTCTTTGAATACCACGAACGGGATATCTTTAGATGATTCTCGCTTAGCAAAAATGAATAGGTCGTTTTATAATAGCAATTTAACGGTTCCCTTTTTTTTACCTGCTCTTTGTAAATACTCAAAAGAAACAAGACATTTCTAAAGTAATTGTTACTAGATATACTAATTGTTTATTTTTTAATAACATAAATTATCTTTAATATTCATAGTAACAGACGCTAATCACCTTATTATCTATTAGTTAACGATTCTTATGAATTCAGATTATCCCATTAGTAAGCTTCATAGAATTATAAACACTTCCATGAAATAAACATACATACTTTAATTTTGTTTTGATTTATTAATAATTATCATTGTTATTGAACAATAATAGTAAATATTTCTTTTGTTTCAGAAACTGATTATGTCTCACGCAACGACGTAGCAAATAAAACCTATGAAATTGAAATTAGAAATATAATTTGCTATATGGATCCTGAGATAAATGTTTTAGTAAAATAATTAAAATGTTATGATTGATTTGACAATTTTTTTATTTATTAAAATACATAAAAATGCAAACATCGTTTTTTGAACTCTCTACCTTTCCCTTAATTAAAACAGAAGTTCTGATACATAAAGCTTGGAGTTACTATTTATGACTGTTACCTGAAAAAGACATGAGAATATCGCTTTGGGCAGTAAGCATCTTGAAAAGAACTTAGGCCCTTGCGTTTGAAATAAAAGAATGAGAGCATTAGTTAAAGCAGTAAGTAATAACAATATTTTTATTCCAATTTGATGGATATAGTCCATTACAATATCCATCAAATTGGAAATCAGTATCATTTTGTAGTGATACAAATCTTTCGTTCTTACTGTTGTGACCTACTGAAATCGTTACTTCTTTCAAATACGTGACACTGACGCACGTTGTAAGTTTGCTACTTCCGGCTGCTTGACGTCATACTCCTTATTGCCTAGATTGAAAATTGATTTATTGAATTTTAGCTTGTGCGTTATTTGCAACTTATCAACAAAGTAAACAAGATATAGTAAGACAAAGATTTAAATAACTGACCCGCGTCAGTAGGTTATCAGCAAAGCTGCGTAGGCGCATACTTAGTGCGCACAATCATACTAATATTATAAATGCGAAAGTTTAGATGGATGGATGCATAGATGTTTGTTAGAGTTTGTAGCCTAAACAACTGAACGAATTTCGATGAAATTTGGTTCAAATACAGAAGACAATCTGGAAGAACACATAGGCATCTTTTGTTTCTTTTTTAACTCCACGCGAACGGAGTCGCAGGCGAAAGCTAGTAGATTTATGCCTATGTAAATACACACTTTATAGTCTTATTAACTACTATAGCACATTATTACACGAACAAAAATAACCCAGAATAACCCCGGAAATTGACTAAAGTGGGTTATTTTAGGAATCTGGCAGTGAGTACTTATTTTTAGGGACAGACTTATAGCTTCTAATATTTAACTTATCTCTTATTCTAGGTTTTATACGTATAAGTTGTATTAACTAACATCTATCTATAACCACCACTGTATTCGTTCCGCCATTTTAATAAAACATTTCGTTCGTTAAAATGGAGGACAATGAAGCCAAGCAAGTTCGTTATGCGGTATATGCGCAGCTGCGTTGCGCGTGGTATTTCCCTTTGTATTGTATCGATCGTGTGAACGTGACTCTAGAGGGGTGACGTCACCTGGCGCAGAGTCCACGGCCATTTTATATTTAACATGTCATGTAATTTTAGTTCTTATTACGTGTAAGTAAGGATTATATTAAATTTCTTGGTCGTTTTAACCACTATCGACTCATCGACCTCTACAAGAATTTAATGACTCACATTTTGATAATAATAATATATTGAAAAAGTAAATAAAGAATGTCAAGATAAGTTTCCTATTTCTTCGTCAAAGGTAAATGTTTATAATTTTAGGTCTTATTGCTGAAAACTTATTTACTGTCTCATCAAAACGTTATCATCAGTTTTAAAGGGCGTCGTTTTTTATTACGTAGGAAAAAAAATAATTATATATTGTTATGATTTTATGATACACAGGGATACCCCTGACGCACTTTAAGTATAACTTATATATCAACTTACATTAATAAACTTTTTTTTTATTCTTACATCAGGCAACAAGTAAATAAAACTTTATAAATGCAATAGTAGCAAGGGCAAAATAACCTTAGTTTGTATTTTGAATTGATAGTCATTCATGGTGCATATGCATAACGCCATTCTTTTCTCGAATCTAAACGAAATTAGTTCAATGTGTTTATATCTAGACAATTCGCACAATTATGGGGAGATATTTTTGAAACTAATAGACAGTCTACATATTCAGTAGTATGTATTTCAATGGAGTAATTCAGTACGTTATAAGTAATTGCTACAGGTTACAGGTGGTTACAGTCAAAATGGAATTGATAAATCCACAGGCAAAAGAAAATGTAACTGCTAAAACATTATTTAAACAACATGTTGTACGTAAAACATTTTTCTTCTTTAGTTGAAGATTTAACTCTACACGTCGCTAGGGGAAAAACGTAAGATAAAAATAAAACATAATTAGAATAAGGCCATATGAATGATATCTGCTTCCCTAGACCTAGTCTAGATCATCTTATTAATACGCGTATCAATACAAGTATACCAATTTATAAATAAGTAGGAGTAAATTATGAGGTAAGTCTCTTGTATAAACCAGTTTTTGGGAAGTTTCGGAGAACTAGTTTGCAACACTGTATTACTAGAACGCCGCCATTTTGTAATAACAAACTACGCAGTTATCGACCGCGGAGGGCGTCGGGTATATAACCGGCCATGTTGGAAATTTCCGTTCATTTCAATTTCGTCGTGGGGAAGAACGTTTGTCTGTGAAGTGAAGTGAAGTGCTGGCAGTCAGCCGCCTGTTCGGATTCAGGTGTGTAATATTGTATCATCCACAATATTTTAAAAAGCCCTGTTTTCAAAAAATGGGCTACGCCGTACAAGAAAAATCTGTTGTTGATTTTTGTGAAAGTAAAACAGAGTCCCTATCTAATTGGGTTCGCAAATTTAAATGTAAATCAGTAAACGCAAAGACAAAGAGAAAACGTGACCTAAGAATAATCGCCATTTTGAGTAATTCTTTGTTACGTGCTGAAAATGAACTTATTACGAAACAAAGAGAACGTGCTAGAAAGTGGGCACAAATGCAAGCTGATCTTGGATTATGCAATAAGGAAGAGGAAGTCGCGAGGCAGCAACAAGAAAAAATCGATAATATATGGAAGAATGATCTCAGCGGTTTAGATAGCTTTTTCAAGGAACTAGATAATGTCAAACCAGTCCTAAATTAGATGTAAGAGGTAAAGTACAGTATTAGAACCTGTGATATATGTAGGATGTTTTTCTAAATTACAGTCCCATTGCGTTTCGCGTGGGTCTGCATTCGACGGCCGCCATCTTGTTGCCGCATGGGGCGTGGCCGCTGCTGGCTACAAAATGGGTTTGTAACGGTATCATGCATTTATATTTAGTTAATTTGTTATTTAATTGTAAATACTTAAATTTTTCTTTAATTCAATAATAAATTGGATTTTGTTTTTATTCATATTGAATACAAAATTGTAACATATGTTTAAGTATGAAAATAAAAGAATATTTGATAAAAATTTGTCGTATTGAATTTTATTTTCTCTAAAAATTGTAATTTCACCCAACGTGTATTATTCCATGAGTCATCGCCATCTCTCCGTGAAGCCATGCAGTTGTGATGCAGACGAGTTACAAGCGTATGAGAGCTGTCTGCGGAGACACAGCCGCTCCAGCTGCCTTACGAGGTCGCCGGATGTCGCGCCGACATTCGGAACTGCCACGTGCTAAAGGTCACATCCGCGCTCAGTCCCGGTTATCAGCCCACTAGGTAAAGCTAGGGAATTGAGCAATCATTTCATCGTATAACAATGTGTAGGCCTGTATGCAGGCCGTCGTGTGTGCTATTTCTTACATCCCAGATGTCAACTGCCGCTGCTGCCAGAGCAGGCTGCAATGGGATTGGATACGCGCACAACTCCTACATCATTTCGACTTGAGCGAGGTGTGCGTACTTTCGTAGGACGGATGTTTAGAATTGATATCGGCATAAGAAAATAAACACGAAGCGATACTTACGGTGAGTCATTGTTATTCATGCAAATGCAAGCTGAGGCTAACAATGATTTTCTATACTGATTGTGTCAATGTCAACCTGGTGCAAGTGCCATAATAATAAATTCATACAGGTATATATATTGTCCGAAACTTAAACATGTCTTCCAGAAGGTAGTAGACAAAAAAAATAAGAAAATGTTTGCTAAAATGGGTATGATAATGCTACGGTATAAACACAACCGTTACAGGTGAAGCAGCAAAAGTATTCAATTTTATTATTTCCAACTTGCAATTATTAAAAAAAAGTATAAAGACTAAACAAAATTTAATTAAAAATAAAACCTTATTTGAATCGTTATTGTGGGCTGATTTATTTCCGGGACTAAAAGATTAGAAATATTTCAAAAATAAAGTTATAGTTAAAATGGCATTAGTTAGGATTGGACACAGGCTTATAATGTAAATGGTAAGTGTATCGTAAGGAAATGCATTCGTTTATCAACAGTTTAAAAACAATAGAAACTGATTGTATATGTAAATTTCACAGCTGTTATGGTGGCGGTGACTCGTGACGAACTAATTTATACATGAAAGCAACTTGCAGCCTTCGTAAGGAAGGTCGTCTACTGCACACTGCATAAGAATGCACTATCTACATAAACAGATAAGTTTCATTATTTCCAAAAATAGCTGGCAGCTAAATTTAAGCAGAATTACTTGAATTTTATAGCACATAGTTTCATACATTTAAGTTGCAATGGTAAGTCAAGTATGTTGCAATTGTACCTAATATGGATATTTAAATTACAAAATGATACATGGTAGTGAAATATTTTCAATCTTCTATGGTGGGGAGGGGGGAACTAATTATTTTAAGTTCACAGATTAGTCTCTTTACATAATTCTATGTAGTACACATGAAATATACAAAACTTATGGAAGTAAATGTATGAAGTCTTAGCTGTCCAATATAAATGAAAGTTATGGAATAAGTATAGTATAAATTAATCAAATTATATATTTGTTTGTCTCTGACAATTCTGACACTATTAAACATGTATGAAAGACGAAAATGCTATCCTGTGAATAATGTATAATTATAATGTTTTACATAATGCATGGAATAGAATGGTATGTAATTAAGATGACTGTCACTATTGCAAGTAAGTTGGTTGGGTTACTGAGATAATTTTTCTAAAATTTAAATTAGATGCATGCTGCCCTAAAAATGTTCTTCCAGATTACATAGATACGCCTTATTTTAGTTGAAGCGAAAAAATAGTGGTGGCCAAATATATGTAACTCTTGAAAATATTATTTTGGTACATAGTTTTTATTTTGAAGCGATGGCTTT